GGAACTTTTTGAAAAACCTTGCTTCCGGATCAATTATTATCCCAGTCTGTCCCGAAGATTGTTCAAAATAAACTTACGAAACCTGATAAAAACATTCGACTCATTCTAATTTTTGCACTTTTTTTTGCTTTTCATCTGAATTATATTGAATAAACTCGTGCTCAAAATAAATCAATTCATTGATGATACGAGAATGCCAAAGAATTCTCGTCGGTTCTTCACGAGGTTCTTCGAATTAAGATGTGACTTCTGCAATAAAAAAGGATAAAAAAAACACCTTTTCACTCCCGCCTCATCATTACCGGAAGTGAGGTTTTGCAACAAATTTCTTGGCTATATTATCCTGTCGTCGTCGAGCTTGAAGGTTGTGCAACACGCAGCACTGGCTCGAATCGACGACATTTCTCGACAGTGTCGACGATGTTACCTCTACATTTTTTTTCTTATCCTCTCTCCCATACCACAGCACCATGTTCACGTAATTGTGGGAAAAATTCCTCTCACCCAACGTAATTTTCTTTCTGTCCACTCTTTATTTTATTTTTATTTTTTCATTTATGGGCCATGATGATGAGCGGAATTAGGCGATGAATTAAGCGTGTTTTTCTCGTCGAATTTTATTTCCGGAATATTTATTCAAGCGTGGTTTTTTTATTCGGAAATGTTGCCGCAAAAATTAAAGTAAAGTATAATTTGTCACACTAAATAACAAACTCAAGAATCCAAATTCCTTGGAAAACTTGTCCTCATATACATCTTTGTGTGAACCAGGAGAAACTCTGGTCATTTTCTTGAAACCTCCAAGGTTTATTTCATTGCCAAATTTCTGGAAATTTACAAAACAGTTTATTCATCCTTGAAGGATAGTTTTCCTGTTTTCATCTTCAGTCACAACACTTCACTTCTCTTTGAGCTTTCGTGCTTGAGCAATTTGCAAGTTTTTTATGTGTGTTTGAATGACAATCACTCTATAATATGGTGAAATTTTCATCCAGTTGTAGCCCAACCAAATTCTTTAGTTCCATTTTTGTTTCAAACATAATTTATTCTATAATCATTCCTAACAAATGTTTTTGGGATTTATTATTAAAAGGGGTTCTTTGTTTGGGTTAGGCTTATTTTTTTTAATTAAGGCTCTTCGGCAAAGGAGAGTTGATTGAGTTGGCGATGGATTATAAGAAAAAATAAGGTCAGGATGATAAGTGACGTATTGATTTCGTGTCGATACAAATAACAGGTGAAGGCCAAGGGCGAATTTTCTGTACATTTGGGAAAACTATGTTCTCACACCATTGTGTGGAAAGAATGAGTCGTTTCTGTTCCTTTGGGAGACAATTAGTTCTTGTATAAACTGTACATAGAAGGTAAATGGAAAAATATCTGTGGATAAGTCTGATTTTATTTGGGACTTTCGGCAGACAAATGGAAAAAATATATGTATTGTGCATGGAAAACAAAATATATTTATGCATCATTCAGGATTTATATATATATATACGCGATATGAAATCTTTCGGGAATTGTTGAATGAAAAACTTTTTATATTGAGTTTTTGCTTCAATCCATTGAGAATTTTAACCACCGTTTTTTTTCTTTAGACTTTATTGCAATATCCGTGATTCAATTTTTTAAAATTCAAATGAAATCAAACAAACAATTTTATACTTTCTCGATCAAACAATATCCTTCCTTGAATTTTTTTTTAAATCATGGATGGAGAAACTTTGCTATTGTACTTTTTTGACAAGATTATGTGTTGATTTAGAATTCTTGGGTTGTTTCGAAAATATCCCCGAGTGAGAATAAAGGAAGACGAACCTTTTGTTCGTTTATATCGGAAAAATCTTTGGGCACTTTTTGCAGCTTTTATTGTATGAGATTTTAGGAAAGGATTGATAATTGTTGATTGTGCTTCACTTTTTTGCAAACGAATTTTTGCCCAGAAAATTATCATGATAGAATGACGAAGAAATTGTTTTTTTTCAGAATTTTTTGGTTAATTAAAAAGCAAGGTCAGATAGCGAAGTCTCTTCTTGAGAATACCATGTATGCAAATGAGTACTGTATTGCTGTATGTCCTAATATTTTGAAGATATTGTTTATAATTTTATAAAAATATTTCAAGGATTCCGCATTCCATGAAGTACTTGAATTTTTTTTCATTCCCCATTTTTCAACTCACAGATGAGTAAATTTCCCAGGAAACCATTTTTCTGTTCGATTTTTTTGTGGTTAATTTTTTTTTTTGTCAAATGAAGACTTCTCTCGATTTTTTGCTGAATAAAAGATCAATTCGTTTTGAAAACGGGATAACGTTTAGTTCACGCCGGAGAGAGATATTTTTGATTATTTCGGAATGAATATAATTGAAAAAATGTTCATTTTTGCAACATTTTTGGAATAAATTGAAAAAATACTCACTGTGTGCAACATGTTTCACGAACTGTCCTATGTTGACAGTCGGTTGGACGATTCTTCAGCCACCTCAGATTTCACTCAATTTTCCAACTTTTTACTTGTAAAAAAAAATATATTTTTGTGGTACTATGCCGAATTCAAATCGCCGAAATTAGGATAAGTAGCAGCCGCAGCCTGGCTGTGGTTCACTACCTGTCGAGAGAATTATTTCACACAAATGTTTTTTTCAAAAGAAATAATTCACCAAACAATTTACATTGCATGCAAATTTTTTTGCAACGCAGATTTTTCACAGATTTTTTTTTATTTCAACCTGTATGCAGAGTGAAGTACAGATATTTGTTTCTTGAACAACAAAAACTCTGCATCATGTCAACTTCGATTTTTCACTTTCTCAACTTTTGTTTCAACGACCAAAAAAACAAAATCAAAAATTCGAAGCTAGAGGAAAAATCGTTTACGAGGTGCTTTACTAGGAAATTCACTCTTTTTTATATTCTTTGTAATCCAGAATCCTCCAAAATTTTTCCGAAAATTATAATCAATATCTTCAAGATATTGGACATATAATATTCTGCACATATTCTCAAAACGTCGAATTGCTGCCCTACGAGCCTACGAGATCTGCATTTTTTTATTTTAAAAATTCTGAATGAATAAAAAATCCTTCGTCATTCTATGAGCATTTACTGGGGATAATTAGTTTTTTTTAATTGAGGCACAATCAACAAACAATACTTCCATAGAATCTCATATAGTTAGCTGAAAAAAGCGTCCACAGAATTTTTCGATATAAACAAACAAAAGGTTCTTCCTTCTCACTCAGGGATATTTTCAAAACAATCCACGTGCAACTAGTTTTACGTCATCACAATCTCGGCAATGAAGTGGCATTAAATTCAGATATCAAAAGGTTCTTCCCAAGGAATAATCTTCGTCATATCATGTGCATGAAAATAGATATTCATTGAGCATCCAATAAAAAAAAACCGTTTCGCTGAGCAAAAAAAAAAATTGATCCTGGTGTATTATTTGCTTTAATGTTACAATAATCGATCAAGATCATATTGGATGTTCACTGGTATCGCGACGAGAAGCGACTGAAGACTGGGATCACACTGCACGAAGTGTATTGGGTGTATAATAGTCCTCGGCGCGGGCGGTTGTTGGCCGCCTATATTTTGCTCCTCCTATAATTTCGACCGACGTTTTCCCATTTCTTTTTCTTCTTTTACCTTGATTATTCTGGAGAAGAATCCGACTTTGTTTTAGTTGTTCGTTCTGGAACTGAATTTCCTTAAAAGGAGAAGGTGTTATACACGCTTTATTCCGATGAAAATTCTTCAGACCCTGCGCGTCAGAACGGTTTCGGGTTCACGATGAATAAGAGAACCCTGATGATTCGTTCAACAGATGCAGCTGTCATCCAGTTATCATCACTGATTCTTCACTGTTTTCTGTGAAAAATTCCGCATTTTCAGCTGGAAAGTCTTCCTGATGGTCAGTTTTTTTTCGTTTTTATAATTAAGGTAAAGCATTTAAATGTGAAGACCCGAGCGAGAGGAAAGGGTTTGTTATACGTATGGAATTGAACCGCCAACTAAGTTGAGTCAAACATACCGTATTCGCGGGAAAGCCCGCCCAAACTATTTTTTCCAAGAAAATGCTTTTATTTTGCGTCAAATTTACATTTATGTCAAGAGAAGACGTCTTTCAAGTCCACAATTAACAGACAGACTCCTAGCTGAGAAAGCTGGAGCTGATGGTATCGATCGCGTGCGATGGCGGGGAAAAGAGGCGATGCTCGGATATGAGTGACATCTATGTAATACTTTGTTCAATATTATTCGAGCATGGCTTTCCGCATTTCCGACTAGATGTCAGTGCTGGATTAAATTGATCCAAGCAATAAGATCTGAGAACGGGATATTTTCGCGTCTATGAAGGGGAATCTTGAATACATGATACAGTATTGAAGAACGATAATATTGTACTGAACTGTATCCCACATTTCAGGAATAATCATTCTACAATCTACATAATGTTGATTGATGAGAAAACTAGTTGAACTGTTAAATAACAAGCCATCAAATGCTTTCAATATTTATTATCATTTACAGTTTGACTCTCTAAAAAGAACTTTGTCCACAACAATTTTCTCATCATAATGAATTATTTGTCCCATTTAGTTTTAGACCCATGTTATGGCAATACTGTACTGGGGTGGACCCTCCACAACAAAATGCTCTCCACAGTACTGTACTGTAATTTTTTTCTGGTCTCTCACTTTTGTTGTAGAAACTGTATAGGGTAGACTCTCCACAGTAAATTTTTCTGGTCTCTCAATTTTGTTGTAGAGTCTATCCTATACAGTATTGCTATAGCATGGGTTTAGGACTAAATGACACAAAAATAATTCATCATGAAAGACCAGAAAAATTTCAATGCACAGAGCATTTTGTTGTAGAGAGTCTACCCTCATCACTTTCCAAGTACTGAACATCATTGAACTATTTTGACACTGGTGTTGGTGATGGTGCAAGATCCCACAACGAAAATTCTTAATGAAATCTTCAAACGGATCACGAAACATTCGCACATTTATTCTGTGAAGTTGACGGATTGATCAAGAAGACATCTTTCTCACTCGAAAAAAAACGTCGAATTAATCAAGACAGAGACAAAGGAGCGTTTAGAACTTTTTTCCCCGAATAAGGAAATCGAAAAAAAAAAAAAAAACGGCCGAGCATCGAAAAGAAATCAGAAGCTAATTTGAGAAGCCGCAGGTCTAGTGAAGCAATCTTTCTTTCATAGGGCGGGTCGTTCTTTTTCTTTGCCACAAAAAAATTGATAGAATGCAACTGTTATCACAAATCAACTTCAAGCCCACCAGCTCATATTTCCTTTTCCGCGTCGCACGCGCAGGAAACCAAAAAAAAAAATTGCATGAAAGGGGATCCCCAGATGAATCTCAAAAAACTGCGTGAAACCTCATCATCAGAAAATACATCTGCGCAAGTAAAAGGAGAGCGAAAAACAACGGAACAGGAAAAAGAAATCGCGACCTTCTTTGCAGATCCAACAACATTTCTCTTTTTTCTTTCTTTCTATACAGCAAAGGTTTGTTTGTTTCTTTATTTCTTTCTTCTTAACCCACGACGCGACTAATAAACGCAGGCAGAATCTTCCGCTTTCCGGGACACATCCCCCCTAAATTTTCTTCAAGGTAAACATGAAGTACGCTCTTTAAAAAAAACGTACACAATAAAGAATAAAAGGTGCTGTCCCAGAAAGAGAAAATCCCCCACCGAGCGGAAAAACTTGTCCTAACGCCATCTGGTGGTCCTCGAACCAAAAAAGGGGGTTTTCGTGTGTGTTTGGGAGAGGGGGGGTATATGTGTCAGGGTGAGCACGAACGCATCAGGCACCGTAAGGACACATGAACCATTGTTCCGCCATGACGGAGGAAAAAAAGAGCTCTTGAGGAGACCGCAAAGAGCCAAGACTAAACGGCTCCAGAAAAAAAAACATTTTTTTGAAGAGGGTCCGACGAATAGCGATAATTAAACGAAAAAGAAGAACGATTCTTGTTGTTGTTGATGTTCCTCATTTGTTTTTTTTTCCTACATTCTTCCGTTTAATAGTTCCATCTTATTTTTTTTTATTTTTTCCTCCTCTCCTGACGAGAAAAAAAGAGGACGATCAGAACGTGGAGTTCTCCGGCGGCTGGGGCAACTTGACGTTCTCCTTGAGCGTCATGAGCCTGCGGAGCTCGTACAACACAGTCTTGATGTTGTAGCCGCGTTGCCACATGTTCAACACCGGCACCGTGCGTCGGTCCACGAGACCAGTGTTGTTGTTGACACCCTGCATGTTGATGCGAGTGAGGAACCGAACGGTCGGCGGGGCGTCCGGGTACTTGCTGCCGCATTCCAACTAGAAAACAACATCATCATCATCAAAGGCGAAATAGGAAATCCGTCACAAACTAGGGCTTTTTTGTTGTTTGTTAGCCTGTACTAATGGTCTGTATAGTACTTACACCCAAGGCTTCTCAATCGTTGGTACAGATGTTTTCGCTTTTTTATTCTTCATGCGCAACGAATTATAAATGGCGTCGTACACTTACATACTCGAGTACCACACGACACCACAAGTGAGACGCTCATTGGGGGTTTTCAGTCCAAAATATACTGTACTCATAGAAGCATATCCCCGAGTAAGACGCGCACCCCCCGTTTTAAACGACGCTAAAACTCCAATACAGTAAAATCTCATTACAACAAACTATTGGAGACCTGATGAAAAATTTTGTTGCATCGAGATTCATGGTTTTCAACAGATTGAAATTTGGTGAGGAAATGGGCAACAAATACTTCGAAGTGTTTCCAAACCAGATACTTCAAGACCTATTAAATTTAATGACTATTTCTGATGAAATCAAGAGAAAACTTTTGAAATACGGTAATGGAACTTTCCTTTCATTAAACCTGCCTTTTCACGAAAGCGTTGCTTGTCTTTAAAAATACTGTATTTCCAAAAATAAGAACTCCCAAATTTGAAATTTAGACACGAGTCAAACCTGAATTTAGGTTTACCCGGGAATAGGAAAAGCGGTGTCACACAACCCTCGCTCTTCCCCATCAATCAATGACTCGTATACAGTATCTTGAACCGTTAAAAGCTAATCGTTTTTCGATTATATTCAACTTCAAGACCAAAAGAAGTGAAGAAGTGCTTGTTTTGTTGGCTGCGAATAGGAAGATTTCCTCATACAGACGCATGCATATTGACGGAAATTGCATAAATATGCAAATATACGCCCCCCGGAGTTTTTCAGCTTCTAAAATTTGAATAAAGCAGTGCGTCCAAGGGTTGTTCCACTTGGGCACAGCCTCAGATATTTCTAGAGTAGTAAAAGAGAAATCGTGACATAGCCCATGATTTTCTAAGGTTCTGGGATTATTATTATTTTTTTATTAAAATAACATTTCAGTCAATCATAGCACAGAACATGCTTTGTGAGAACGTTCCAATTACAGCCAGAGTTCTCCCCTCATTTCACAGGGTGCTGAATAGGTTGTCAACCAGCTAAAATATTTAAATTTGTCGCTGTTTTAACCATTATCTTTTCCTTATTTCAGATAATGGTTCAGACGACAAAGAAATTCAACTTTTCTAGCTGGCCTGACAAATTTTCAGATTCCATGTGGAATAGGTTGAGAACTCCGGTTTTAACTGGAAATTCGTTATTTATCCTCACGCAGTAAATAAAACATAAAAAACTGTAATCCAAGAAAATACCAGAACATCATAAGCTATGGCACGAATTTTTTTCTATAATCACACCAACTCCGGAAATATCAGAGGCCGCGTCCAACTGGGACAGCCCTGGTATATTCGCATAGGAATAATTAAAATTCGTTTCATAATGATTTTCGTCAATTGATTAGTCAAGTGCGATATCAAGGGAACTCACTTTCAAGCTGTACATGCGATTCTCAAACGGGGTTCGAGGAGGACCAATGATCATCCCTGTCCAATAAGTGAGCGTCATGTCGCTGTCGTCCTCGAGTCCCCAACTTATGGTCCCATCACCGACACCCTTCTGTCCGTGGTCCAGCTCCTCGAGCAGGCGAAAATTCCGTGGAATCACGACGTTGTTCGCCATCGTTCATAAAAAGGACCACCGCTTCCCTTTTTCCCACAGCTCGGATTTCCCCCGATTTATTTATTACACATTCAACGAATCCCTGAATAACACAAACCAAAAAAAGACACACGTTAAATATTGGGTGCTTCACGCAATGTCAGAGCCTCAAAAAGCGAGTACAGTAAAATCGCGTTAAAGGTGGAATCTCTTGACGACCATTTTCTCCGTACAGTATATCGATTTTTTTTTGTGGTCTCACAGGGTTAACTCCCCATGTTACATGGGTTCTCTACAACGAAATTCTTTCAACGAAGAATAATATTTGTCTGGTCCCTTGAGTTTCGTTGTTGACTGAGTCCACCTGTATGACAAAGCGATTGGGACCAGTGAAATAGCTTCGTTGTAACGAGCAATTCCTTATAAGGAAACTCATTAACATTGTGTCAATTGGGCAATGACATAAAAAACCGACTTTGTTGTCAGCAATTATTCGTTTGAACGAGATTCTACGGTACTGTATTTGCGTAAGTTATGAATATATGCGCATATGGAGAATAATCTGTTCATAAATAATGTTCTTTACTGAAATTGCGATCAAAAATAGGAAAATTAACAATTAATTTCAACAGATACCGGCGTTCATCAGTAGTTCGTTCTGCGAGTCAGCTTTCTATGTGGATCATTTTTTAGCAGACGCACGTACGCATTTACTAAACGTACTTCCCGATATTCTAGCAATATATAGATTTACGCTTCAATTAAAAGAAGCCTGTCAAAGGAATCCGAGTTAAAGAGAAAATTTGACAGCATCACAACTTCTCAAATTTTCCGCGACTGGGAAACGAATGGAAGAGTTACGGATAATGCCAAAGATTTTACAAATGTTCTTCGTACTGCTGCCTTATTTCAAAACGAATTTCACTATCATCTGTTCAACATTCTTGGCACAAAAAAGCACTTCACCGAAACTTGAATCACACGTATCAAGAACAGTTTCTTTTGTGGAAGACAAAACCTCCCATCAACTCAAGTCAACAACCGCATGTGTCACACACGACGTATAATAAAATTTGGAAAGCCTTTTGCGAGCGGAAATAAGTCCCTCTTTGGAAGCCCACAAAAATTTCGATTATAGTAGCAAACGCATATAAATCAATTGCATATAGACGTTTTCGCATAACAGCACACAAAAGCAACAAGAAGTAAGGCCTCCGATTGCTTCCTTTTCGATTTCAAGACTCATTTCGAACACAAATTTCTCTTTCACTTTCTTTTCATATTGCGCGTTAACGATCACCGAAACACACGATTACTTCACTCTTGGTAAAGCTAACAGAGAGAACAGGAATGACGCCAAAAAAGGGATGTACACGGTTTCGCGCTTTTGAACATCAGGAATCACCCAACTTCCCAAGAGATTTCTCAACCGAAAGCAACCCGAATTTCAAACCTACTTTTCCGCCATGTTAGACATCAGCGAAGAGAAACGGTTGTTTCTCAACGTTGACGACTATCTTAAGACTTTTGAAGGTACTCATCAAGTCCTTCATTCCACCGATTTCGTTATTGAACAATTTTCTCAAAATACATCTTCACCTCTTGAAGGAAACCTTACAGAATGAACAACCTCCGAATTTTGTTATTTTCTGAAACGCTCTCAGGTGGGTTACTCAATCGTTTAAAGGTGTCATCTCGAACGCAGATCTGAACCCAGCCATAGCAGAAGGAACTGCAAGTTCAACCATTGGTACTTCAGTCAATGACCTCCCAATAGATATGAAAGGGAATCATTTAACGACGTCGTTAGGCGTGTAACGTTAACTTTCGCACAGATAGAATGGCTGATCCAGAAATTTCTTGATAAATAGAAAAACTCGCGGGGAAAAAAGTCGAAAATGGATCAATTACAAACGAGGCATTAGTGGAGCATCTAGAGAGGAGGGGGAATGAGAACAAGGATAACGTCATCCAAAAAAAATGAACATAACTTTGATAAAAATACATTTTTAGACACGAAGCTGTCTCAAAGATTTACCAAGCCCAACATGGGTTTTAAGGCAAAGATCAGTTTTCAAAAAAGGAACGTTTTCTAAAACGAGATCGTCGATTCATGGAAAGAAAGGTTGAAGAACAAACAAGAGAGTTTAAAAAGTAGGCCTTCCACATTGATACTGAAACATTTTGGACCATCAGGTTTTGTAAGCAAAACCTGATGAAATACAAGCGTCACCTATGCGGGAAAGGGTAAAACAGACTCAAAAAATTCCGGAAGGCATAACAGAAAATAATTACGAATTGATTTAGCATTTCAAAGCTGAAGTTTCGCATCATTTAAAGGAACCCCGTTATATTGAACTATCTGGTTTCTCAAAGCCTCTTCTGATCCTCCAACAGATTTTTAGTGGGATCATGCAACAATTTCACGTCTCCAACAGTTTCTCGAACACGTTTCCGTCCCTGTTCAACCGCCAAAGATAAATCTCTCTTGTACAGTTCGTCTGCGACGGCCCAGGTCGCACACCGTCCTCTATCAAAATGCGCGTATCCTCGATCGATAATCTGTCGACAATTGTAGCAAAACCTCGCGCCACAAAGGCACGTCATCGCATTACAGCCTTCAATTTTGATGATTTCACGCTTGCACTTAGGACACTGTCGCAGTATTCCTTCCGAAAGGCTTTCCTCCAAGATGCGACGAGCCTTGACTTGGTTGTCATCCTCGACGTTGTAACAAAGCAACGGACGATGGTCGCTTCGTTTGCATTTCCTGCAAGGAAAATTATTTTTCAAAAACAGACCAAGAAGAATGCTTTCGTTAAGACAGCGAATCACCACATGAAATAGCAACGAATATGATGAGCAATCAAAACGACGTTCGTTGTTACAGAAATAAGACGAATATTTTCATCACTCGAACGAAAAGAAGTCCGTTATACAATCGGATGCATTTTCGTTCAGTGTTTCGCCTGAATCTTGTTCAGTTTTATTTCTTCAGGTTTCGAAACTAGGCTGAGTTGGTTGGCTATGGTTTCCTTTAGGTGAAGAATGTCGGATTAATCCGAAATTACAGTAGTTTTTTCGTCCTTGTGCCTTGACCTAACTAAAGTTCCCGCATAACAAAACACGAGGCCTGGCTTCGCCCATACTAATAACCATCAGGGTAATAAAAATTAGGCCCCAATTTTCCTTCTATAAACGTCATTAGAATCACGGGTTCCTTCATCTCGAGCCCGCTGATTATTCAGAATTTTTTGTCGAGAGTGATTCAAGTGACACCTGCTTGACCTTCATAAGAGCAGGGTTGAGGCAATGGAGTACAGTACTGTAAAAAGAACAGTGATACTCCGGTCTTTTCGACCACAAATTTCAATTACAATATTTTCGTTATACAATACAATAGTTTCGTTTATACGATAGTTTCGGTAAGAATACAATAAGATCGGGTTTATCAGCCAAGATTGACTCAGGTCAGTACGAATTGAGTAAATTTGGGATCAGCTTTGATAACAGGTTCAAGGTCTCGTGAACCTGTTATGCAGGTGATGCACGTGACACTTGCCAGATAAAATTAAAAGCAAAATCGGAGAAAATGAACGACGAAGTGTTAACACTTCGATACGAACCGTTTACTTCTCCAGGTGTATCATCGGACTCAACGAATTAAAAAATATCACTAAAATTTGAACCGTCTCTGCTTCATCTCATCTTTTGACACCAAACCTAAAAGTGTACTCAGTGAATAACTCAAACAAATACATAGCTTGAAAACTAAACAAACCAAACCTTTGATTTTTTTTTAAACCCAGAATAAGGGTTATCAGAAGGATACACGAAGGGAGATAACTTCGAGGAAACATAAACAGGAAATTTTTTTTCAAACGGAATCAAGCGAATAACAAACCTGCAAGTATTCATCCGACACAGCGGGTTGATGCACTCGAACACCGTGAGCGATTCATCCTCAAATTCCATTTCGAAACCGCAAAACGGACACGCTTCCAGGTGCCCCAGCTTGGCATTATCCAACTCAGTCTTCTGCACATACCGCAAAACGGAAGCAAAAACGTTCGGAGACAACAGATCGCGTAGCTGAGACAGTGCGACAGATTCGCTACAATCCGCGTGCAAACAAGACACATGTTTCCCTTCCGCAACGGAAATTTCAGCATGTCTTTTCAGACACGTGGAACAGAAAAGATGCCCTCTGACACATTCACGCATGTCCGAGACCAAGAAATCGTCCATGCAGCAAATGGCGCATTCCAACAAAGTCCCGCTCTTCTTGGCTTCGTTCACGGCGGATCGCTTCTGACATTTCCGCAAACCCGATTCGGTCTCGATTTCCGTCTCCAATCGAAGATACGTCATCTGGAAAACGCGATTATAAATCAACTACAGTAAATTTCGTTACAAAAAACTTTTGGGGACTTCAGAAAAGTTTGCTGTACTGAATACTTTGTTGTAACGAGATTTTAAAAATTAATGACAGGAAAAAACGTTCTCATTAGATCTACCTACTATTTATTAGAACTTGCTCTTCTGGCATCCTCGGATTCTTTACTATTGCTTGAAAAACTGCGTGATCTTCTGAAAAATTAGGTTCAATCATGCATCCCATCTGTTTTACCAATCTTTTCATTCTTGGAGGATGATGCGTTAAACCACTCAGAAGCATGTCTATCATTGATTACCACTTCCATCAATGCTACAAGAACCAGTCAGTCACATTTGGGATCAAAAATTTCAGACTACGCCTGCCTTAGTCAAAAAATTTCCACCTGAAAAATCTATTGAACATTCCTGATTCCTCAAAAAAGTTTGTTAAGCTGGAATTGGGAAGTTTGTTATAACAAGATTGTTTCAACATATTCTACGGGTTTGCCGCCAGGAGCCAGGACTTGAGAAAAAGCTTGTTATATTGAAAAAATTGTTTCACCGGTATTTGTTAAAACGATATTTTGACCCCTGTCAAGCGTAATTTCGAACGTTTCAAGATTTCCACTTCCAGGTTGGGATCACATAAGTAGGCCAGATTTTGTACTGGCGTGAAACACTTCCATTTCAAAAGCACAGGGAAGTGTTCAAGTTGATAGAAAATGTTCCAACATAAACCAAGATTAGAAGTGACGACAATTTTTCAAGATTACATTACATTTTTAAGAAATGTGGCCGGAAAACAGGCAATTCTCGCATTCAACCTGCTGAAGAAATATATGTATGTAATTCGGATATTGTTTTATCACACCAGAAGAATCCAATTACGGTAATTATGCCGCAGAAAGCTTAGAACTGATTCATTTCCCAGGAATTGTTACACAACAGGCAAAATTGGTCTCATAATTGCACATACAAATTCGAAACACCTTGCTTACCTCTTGAAGGAACGTAAGATCGAAAGCATCCCGCTGAAAGAAAACACTACAGGAAGGCAAAGGGCCACGTTTAATTCCCAAGTCTTGAAGACTCTTCAGACTCGGGATCAATAATCCGCGCCCATTTTGCAAACCAAATCGCAAACGCTCTTCGTTGACACCCAAGAAGATGATTTTCAACAAAGCAAGAACATTTTCGCTGTAAAGCTTCGAAGGAGTCCTTTCAACGTTGTCGAAGTAATTCTTCGGATCCGGAAACGATCCCAAGAAGTCCTGTGCATTCATGCTCCCGTATCGATTCAACACGTCCTCCACCTCTTTTCGTTTCAGGTAATCGAGAAGCTTCGGGTAATTGCGGGTTTGCATAGCTGACTCCAACCATTCCTTTACAGAAAAAAGCATTTTCACACGAAGCAGTCAAGTCTGGGGAAAAAATCGCTATAACAGAGAGAAAAAGGATAGAAGCACCAACTGTTTTATCGGTTTATTGTTCTGTATGGTTTTGTTTTCAAGGTTTGGATCTTGAAGTAACAACGCAGATTTTCAAAATAATTGGAGCTAGAATTTTACGAATGTGCTTCGCGCACCTTGACGATGGTGGAATAATCATGAAATTAAGATCAATCCTGATGCTTCAAAGTGTTTATTATAGTCTTCGTAATTCCAAGCTGTTCAGAACATAACACTACTTCAATGTTTCAAAGGTGAAAACGATGTTCAATTTATTCCGTATTTTCTTGAGAAAAAATGGTGTAAACCGAAATACATTATTTCTTTTGATTATACGAATGTAGAGAAATCCTCGGAATTAGGACACCGTTTCAGATCGAGGGAATTCCTGAACCAGGACTCACGCATATGTCCACTTCATTATCACCGAACTGCTCGGCTTTCTCACGCAAAAAGTCAGGATCGGCGTCCGGAAGAAACCCTCGGAAGAATTCCGTTCGCAATCGGCGACGTTCTTGAACAGGAACGAAGTTTTCGATGCGAAATTCCCCGGATGAGCTGCTTGAACTCGAAGCAATCGGAACACCAGGATAATGAGCTCCGTGGGAGCTTTGTGAAAGCGAACCAACTGCATTGATCGACGTGCAGAAAGATCCGCGAGAATTTGAGGACATGTGGTTTGCGTTTTGATGCTGTAGAACAAAATGACCAACTTGGTGATTCGCGGAATGAATGGATGCTACGCTGGTGACAGGAGAAAAGCGCCAGGAACTTGGCAACAATTCTTGGACACAGCGATTGATTTCTTATTCATTACCAACTGAGTAATCTCCGTGTGTAAGACAACATTTTTTTTTTAAATCCCAAAGTGATACTATATGTAAGAATGATTCAAAAAAAGACGAAAATGTGATTTCATAAATCACTCATGAGATTTTATTCTGAATGATTTCAGCCCGACGAAGTTCTAAAACTTCTAATCAAACTCTACTTACGCCAGAGGAGTCCACCTCCTGAGCGTCGGACGCCCTCAACAAAGTATCTAGGGTACGCTCTAAATCACTGTTGTTCGCTCTCCAAGCATTGAGGATCTGTTCATTTGACAGAGACGGAAACATGTTCCTTGCACTCTCCAAAAATTCGGCTTCTTCGGGGCTACGGAATAACTCCGGATCTTGGAAAGCGTCATAGCCATTGCCAAAGGCCATCTCAATGAAATACGCGAAAACTTTCAAAATTAAGTCACTGCAAAATCCTGTTCCGCATCATCGTCACTCTCCCGAAAGATCGCTGCACGTCAAGTCGAGCATGTACTATAAACTTGAATGCACATTATGTTGGGAGCAGAACCTGCAAAAATTGCCATAGGAAATAACTGAATGAATGAAAGGAGAGGATAGTACGAACAAAGCGAGCACACATTATCTACAAATGCTGGTAGACTAAAACCTAGTACAGATTCGTGACTAATTTCCACTTTTGTCCCGTTCCTTCTCCGCCAAAATTTCTTGCAAACGGGAAAGCAGTTGTTCTTTTTCCGGATTATTTCGTTGTTGCAACGCCAGTCGTATCCGATGCTCTTCCATTCCGTCAATACGACCGTACAATGATTGACTAAGCCGTATGTCAGTTTCATTTTCCTCTCGGAGGATGCAGAAATAAATCAGGATTGCAGCGAATGAGCCAAGAACCGCATACGATTGAATAGCAGGAGCTCTTTCTGATGGAGGCGTCGGATCACCGTATGATTGAGAGGCTCTCCATGCTGCAGCCTTACTTGTGGAGAACTTGACAGGTTCATCTTCTGTAAGTTCCTTTGAAATTATTGCGGAGCGGTGTAGACTTGCACTGGAAGAGGAAACCTCAGTTTTCTATCACAAAATAAACACAGAGCACCCAACTCACTTCAAAACCTGACACACCCTCTTCAAATATTTCTCCGATGGGATGCATTTTGAGAGCGCCACACGTAGCATACCGAAGCTGTACTCACTGAATCACTTAGCAATATTGCGCTCATTAATTTTGCATGGCTCAAGCGTCTGATACACACACTAGTAGTGCTTCAATATCGCGGGGATTCACGTACGATTGTCGAAACGTCCCCCTAAATCACGATCGCCGTTTCGTAGCTGAATAGTATTTATACTCCTCGCATATGATGGACGAACAATGAGTGGTTACTTTGCCGGGCCCACAACCACACGGAGAATACTCTAGTCATGTGTCACAATTATGCAGTACAGTAACAGCACATAATGTACGTTTGTACTATATTGCGAGCGTAAAGATCAACATTTGTCTTGTTCAGAAAGAATTAATTCACTTACAGCACAATGAGTCCAAAAAAATGCATACAATACCACCTAAAATCTTGGTCTACACACCTGTTCTGTACGTGGTACAGTATTTGCGCTACAATTGAGTACATCACTGGACTCAAGTTACAATATTTACAATGCACAGTACAGTATAAGCATTACATTCCAGATCCTATACCTGCACCGAATTTCCAAGTACTGTACATTATTTGTCCTGTATCATTCGGGATCAATCAAACATACCTTGGATTTCAGAAAAACAGGCAACATGGTGCCTCATTCAAAAAAGCATCCCTTTCAACAAACCAACCATGCAACAAGCAGCCATTTGTACAGAAAACGCCTCAAAATACAAACCATGTCAACGTAGTACAAACACCCCCGGCATAAAATTCGGAAGTTACTCATTCATCATATTTCTTCATTAAATTTACGATTCAGAGGTGTTCGAATGTTCCAAACAAAAAACCTCCATCTTTGAATAAGCATGGTTTGATGTAAAAGCAACACTGCATAAAAATGCCTAATTTCTTGAGTACGATCATTTGAGATGCACTCATAAGCACCTTAATCTTATATATTTTTTTAACAATCACAATCACTGTAATAAGACACACAATCCAGTTTTGAGTGAATCAAATATCAGTTCATTACAGGAAATACCCTGAAATGTGAAAATTAAACTACTGTAATATGATTATAATTTGTGTGCTGCAGTTGCTTTTTCAGATTTTCATTTACCAGTTTGATTTTAGCCCAAATAAACATTTATCCTTGTCTCCAAAACACATTCCTGTAAACTGCACTGAATTTTTTCAAGTATAAAACGCAGCGAAAATTTCGGAAAAATCGTATACAGTACAGTACTATACTTGAATACGACGGGCAATCGGATTTTGTGCACAATGCCTTTCAAGAAATAGGCGTGTGTCACATACTCACGTGAATACAGTGCACTTGCTCAGCATAAAAATGAAGAATAACTCAGTAAATCCACCATGAATTCCACTTGGTTTAATTTTCTCAGTCGCCATCAAGTGAATTGCCACGGGCAGAACGAATTCAAAATAAAACGCGGCTCGCCATGAAAAGTCGCAGGACGCCCTCAGGTCCGCCAACACAAGTTCTTCGTCCCTAGTTCGCATCGGGACTGATTGTTACACCTCTCCGAATTTGCCCCCAGCCAATTAACCTTCGAAAATATACAAACGGAAAATATTCAATCGATCGTCTCGCAAGGGTTCAAGAAACACGAAAACATAAATGCTCATAGAGATAACACCCACCTCCAGTGCTTCTCGACTCGACGGGATAATGCAATCTTCTCTCCGATTTCAGTACATACGGGGTTGGACAGAGCAATTTTCCCTAAATCAGCCTTCACCGCTAAAACCCTACCACCGGTCGACAGGGAGCCAATGTTCACCATCAGCGTTTCTCCTTTCGTCAATTTCGCCACCTGGAGATTCCAGTCAGGAAAATAAAACAAAAAACAAAGTCACATGAATTCCAAATCGCCTAAAAGTTGAGTGAAATTATGTCACGCGAATATTTCCGTTAAACCATTCTAGCTCAACCAAATGTACCCTGAACATAAAATTCAACATCAATCTACCTCCAGATAAATTTTTTATAGACGTGAGAATACGGGAGTTTAGGTCAGTCTAGTATTTTCCTTGTTTGAGCATCGAATGGAAGGAGTTGGGCGTGACTTCAACGAGGGTAAAATTTAATGTTCCCGATACCCGTTGCATTTTTCGCTATGCAAGTTTGAAACGGAAGAAAGATAGCTTTAAAACAAAATGTGAAAGTGACAAACCATCGCGGCGAGAAAAGAAAGTTCCCCAATCATAATTTAATGAATTAGCACCTTGAGGAGAGGTTTATCCAGTAAAGGGGATACATTTGCAGGAAATGCTGAGAAACCTCTGCGACAATTTCTTAGATTTAACAATCATGTTCCAATAAAAAAAAAAACGTTCTGAGATTGACAAGATTCCTGTCAGTCGTTTTGAATTTAAAGGTTGTAGAAAAATATCAATCAGAAGGCAGGAGGTTGCCCAAATTATGGTTGCAAATGAAGAAAATTCTCATCACAGGTAAATCGAACATCAGAAGACATGGATTTTAAGACAAACCTCTGTTTCTTTGCCTAAAAAATTAAGACATTTTGGGCTGAAAGCACAAAATACACTTGAAATACATTCAATTGCTCTTGAAAAAGAGGCATCCGTTGCTTACTCATGATTCGGTTGTCAGCTTAATTTTCTCAAACGCTCGGGGAGTAATTCGTATTGAAATTGTTGGTCTTTTGAACACGGAAAGGTATCGAGATTTTTAAATTTAAAATTCAATACCATTTTTATTGGTTTTCTCGGTCAAAACCAACCCCTCGCAGTTCTGACAGGCCATCAACTTTCATACCGGCCAAAATTTGTTTCTCAGTGCATTCAAAAAAAAAAGAAAGAACTGCGTTCAACTTCGAGTAAGAAAGTATCGAATAAATTTGGCGCCCATTGATCGCGGGTAAAGTTTACCTTGGCAGCTTTCTTGTCTCCTTCGGTTCGAACGCCCAACAACCGCCTCAACAAATGGTACGAAATCTCCAACTCGGTGTAAATCTCCGGAAGCGCCCCGACAGCCCCCAGCACTTGACCCACGAGTCTGTCCGCTCGGCAAATGGTGGGGTCAATCTTGGTTCCCACGCCGATCAGGCCACCGGGCACCGCGTAGGCCAGCTCATTCTGCTCAGCCAGCAAGGAAACGATGCAAGAACGAATCGGATGACACAGCAGTCGACCTTCGGAGTCTTTGGAAACTATCCCGGGTCGCACTTCGACCTCCATTCCGACTTTGAGAACGCCTTTCAGGATACTTCCACCAGCTACGCCGCCTTTCAGGTCATCAACCTCGCTGCCGGGCTTGTTCACGTCGAATGAACGAATAACTGCAACAAATGATTCAAGCCTTGCACAGTTAAGAAGTTACTGTGGTTTTTTCATGCCTTCGGAAGAAAAAGGCATGCACAATTAGACACTATCGTTTTTTTTTCGAACAGTGCACGCATTTTTCGTTGCTTAAATTAACCACACAGAAAATTTCAGGGCGTCTTAAATTTGACAGAGCCTTGAATATATAGGTGAAGCGCATTCCTTTTTCTGACACACACTCGCTAAAATGAAAATGGGAGACGAACATTTCATGACACAATCTTTCGTAATTTCAATTTCTCCAGGAAAATAGTCAAACCACTGATTTTCATTTTAAATGTTCAAGGTCAGAATGATATCGGAGAACTGCATGGACTTGCAATTTTGAGGATTTTGACTGTAATGATGCATGATCAGTCCTGATTAGCACGAAATACCAGGAACCTCCTCATCATTCAAAACTATGGTAGAAATCCTTTCACGTACAGACGTGGAACCTAATTCAAAATTAAAATGGAACTGTGACTGCCAGTGAATATAACTATACTTACGAGTTTAAGATTCCCCATGGTAGGGACGATTTCAAAACATGAATTTAATGGATTAGAGATTCTTATACAGCACGCTTTTGCACTTAAATTGAATGAACCCTTCTCTGCTTGAAAAATGCCGGTTTTATACTTTATACGTTTCTGGCTTACAAATTTGATTACTTCAAGTTTAATTTCGCGTGATCATCCGAAATCCACGCTTTTCTGTACTTAATGAAGGTTAATATGCCATTTTTTATATCATAATAAATTGAATACGCCTGAGAATGAAATTTTAAATCCAGAAGTTCGGAACTTCAACTCACCAATGAGCCTCGGCATGGACAAAAAATCACGCTTCGGGATCGGGATTTTCTTGCAGATGTATTCACAGAGAACTTCGATGTTGTATTTGAGTTGAGCGGATATGGGAATGACGGGAGCCCCGTCCGCCACGGTCCCTTCGATAAACTTCATGATTTGCTCGAACTGCTCTTTGGCTTGACTTTCTTTCACCAGATCGATTTTGTTTTGCAGAATTATGATGTGTTTCAACTTCATGATTTCAATCGCAGCCAAATGCTCACTCGTCTGCGGTTGCGGACAAGATTCATTTCCAGCTGTGGTAATCAAACATTGAATAAAAACGACAAATGAAATAGACTAATAGTAGCTGAGTACAAGGGGTTAGATTGAAACCAAACCAGGGTCCGAAGGAAGGTTTTCTCAATAATTTTCGATTCTGTATAGCTAGCTACAAACCAATGTTCTGTTATAAAAATTAAAATTTCTCTTTCCATTCCTTCTGGAGTTCTAGTTCTGTATTTTGAAACTGTAATTTTTCATATTCTTATTTCTCATAAATGTTACACATAGATTCGGCAGACCCTTCCTGAAAATATGCAATACAGTACAGTACTGTAATTGCATCAGAAAAACAAAGACTACGAATTACAAAACTCACGTATTAAATCCTAAAATATATTTTGAATTATTTCAAATTTAAATAAATGGAAGTTCAACAAGGCTTGAAAAAGCCCCATGAACAGAATGAATTGCGAAAATGAACAAAGCTCAAGATTAATTTGCATGAACTAATTTTATGCACTGCGCTTACACCGTCCTTAACTTAGGGCAAATGATAAATACGGTATTCACGTAACGAAGTTCCAAGTTCTTTATTTAGAAAATGGGTGAATCTAATCGTTCTTCTCCAAACTTCATTCGGCCACGAAATTTCCAAGATCTCTACCTAAAGCTTCTAGAATTAAGGAAGAAATTTATCCGTATTCACCACATCAAGCGCACTCATAAAATCAGTCTAAAATATATCTTGTTTTTTTATTTAATAAATTGAATGATAAATACGGACGAAGACACAAGTTCCCAAAAGCCTTTAAACAAACGACATCTTTTATAGGAGAGATACAAAAAAAATTTCCATCGTGGCCCAGAAGGACTCTCCACCTCTGTAACGTGGCCTTCGGCCACCCAAAAACGTCTTGACCTCATTTAAGTTGGACAACAGCGCCAGATGAGGAGAAAACTGACCAATGAGAAGTAAAGCGGCGTCCATGATGGCCGCGCCGTTCAACATCGTCGCCATCAAAATGTCGTGACCAGGACAGTCGACGAAAGATACGTGCCTCTGGACGCGGAATCGTCCCGTACACGCGGCTCTGTAGCACGGAAACGAATCATCTTTGCTGGAGCCTCCGGAAGTATAACACACAGGACGCGGACAGGACTCATTGTCACACTTGTAAATCTTCGCATTTGCGTAACCTTTATGAAAAAAATAATAATAAACGCTTAATTTCGCAGGAGAAAATAGGAGCAAAACTCACCTAGTTTAATGGTAATGTTTCTCTCGAGTTCATTCTTGAAACGAACGGTTTGCACACCAGAAATGGCTTTCACAACCGTGGATTTCCCGTGGGCCACATGACCAATCGTGCCAATGTTTATCGTCGCCTGGCGGCTGATGACTTCCGCAGAAAGAGGTGTGAGGTTCTCAACAACCTGAAAAGGATATTTATAGCTCACGCACTTTCCAAAATGAATCAATTCCACAGCATTGACAAAAAAAGACACTATTGTCATATTTCTTTGACAATAACTGCTTTGAATATCTAATTTAAGTTCATGGAATTATTTTCTTGGTCAGGACTGATTTGATTGCTTTCGTTGCATTGACACAACTGTTTCCACAATTGATAGCCAATCTCTCTCTCTCATATAAATTTTGGAAACAGAATTTTGGTTCAATGCATATACTGTATGGGCATTGCTTGTCAACATATCATTCTCTCTTCTTCAAGTCTAGTTTCTTTTCTTCAGAAAGCCCAGCTGACAAAAACAATGCAACCAAAGACATAAAAATCAGACATGATTTGGAACGAAGGTAGAAAAACATTTTCTTTGAAGTGGTACTCCACTCCTCTGGAAAATTCTGCTGATCAATAAACTGTTATACTTTCATGCTGCTCTCTTCAAAAATGTGGGACTCACAAGCTTTGAAACGTCCTGTTTATGTAGATGTGGCTGCCCAAGAGTTACGGTTGGAAAAGGTTCTCCGTCGACCATTGCAAGGCTTCTTTGTAAAGAGCCGATTTCACTTCACTTGTAAATTCGCGAATCAGAAACTTTCAAGAAGCAGGAGGCTTTTAGCGACTTTCCACAAACATCATGAACGACCTTCGGGAAAGAAAGAAAAGATTGGATCAGTCTCATAGAATGTCAAAGAATGTTTCACGATCACAGGGAAGTAAAAATGTGAAACATTCTGGAAAATGTGTACCATATACTCGCAAACGACCCGATACCCCACTAAATAATAAAACACGACAGAGAAAAAAAGTTCCGACGATCCAACAAAGAAAAAAATAAGTAACCCTTGAATCGTCGACATGAACTCCCTTCAGTCTGACGATTATCCAACCAGTTTTTTTTTTCCACGAGGAAGGGCAATTTACCGTTGATCACAGTCAAATAGATTTCAACCAAAAAGCTTATTCACGAATACACAATGTGTACTACCTAGAGAGTAATCGCTCATTCGTCGTATCAGAGCGAACAGTGCATCGTCGTCCAGTAGAATACGTCTTTTGCTGGTACAGTACAGAAAATGAGCTGATTTCTCATCAGGGGTACTGAGACTTCGGTGCTCCGTCACCATGCATCCAAAAACTCCCAATATGATGGAAAAAGAATCATCATTTAACTTTCAACACGGCTGTCTCAATTAACGCTATTATTTTTAGGTTCTCGGAGGCAGACTTCGAAATTTCAAATGAGATGAAAATGTTCGGCTCTACCTCACGAACAATAACATGAATTTTTTTTAATGTTGACATAAAAGCATCCGAAGAACATTTGATTCTTCAGTGAGACAAGCCCCGACAGATTTCGTTCTGCGCGATAAAATCATCAAACCATGTAGAATAAACTTCAGTAGCCTCGAGCAAGGTTTAGTTGAATGATGCCAGAAGATTGCACAAGTGATTAAACTTGGTTATTTTCGATAAAAAATACAAAAAAATCTTCAGTATCACTTTTAAATCTTGCAAGATTCCAGTCCATGCAGAAGTTCAGTTGATTCATTCTGGATAACTCATGCAGATCTATGCTTCAGAGCAGGACACTCGAGTGGCAAAATGATGAAGCACCGAAGCTTTAAATCCGGAGGAAAATGCCACAAAAAGAGGCACACCAGCGAAGATGAACTACACTGAAAAAACAAAACAAAAACCCCTTTTTTTCAATTCGGCAAGATCCCGCTGGTTCTGATGTTCTGCGTCATTACTGCCGGATAAGTCACCAAAGCCGTTGCCGTGCCTGCAGACACAACTGGACCCTGAATCGCATTCACCGCACTACTGATGCTTATGGGAATAGCGGTCGTCGGCATTCCTGGAGTAGTTAAAGGCTGAGACATGGATATGGTCACAGGCGCGATTCCGGCCGGAGTGGCGACCACTGCTGTAGTGGCGGCCGTGTGGCCACCGGTTTGCGAAATCTGGGCGATTGCAGGAACCGACACTGACGCCACGGGTGTCGCCGTGGCTGCGACCCCGGTCACGGAAACGGTGTTCAGAGAGTTCACCGTCGTCACACGACCTTTGCAGTATCGTAATTGGGCGTTTTGGTCCAACAGGAACTCGTTTGTGGCTTTCAGATCGCTAACTTCGCGTTCTAGTCGCTCCACTTTCTTGCTGAGGATGGCGTTTTCCTCCTCCAGAGATCGCATCGTGGTGGAATACGGCCCGTGATGATGCATAGGCACGTGGTATTGGGTCACTGATGCGTCGTAATGACATCTCTTGGGTTCGGGAGCTCCAGGAGGCATCCAACCGTTGTCCAATGACCTGAAGATACGGCAAGTATCATCACAACTGTTGATCGGAAAGCAGATATTTTCACAGAATACACCAAGACTTCAATTAAGACACACCCAACATCACCAAAACGAAGGATGAACCAAAAATAATCTGACAAACCTGTAGGGCCGCATACTTGAACACACAGGATTTGCTTCGAAGCACGGTGACTGACGACTTTTCGAATTGCAAGTGCCATTACAATTCATCCCATTTGCGTTGGAAAACGTTTCCGAAGTTTCGCAACGCTTCGAAGGTTTTGCTCCAAATGTATCCCTTAGTTCGGCATAAGTTAAGTGACGAAATCTACACTTTCCAGCACGCTTACACTCTCCCTTTAGAAAATCCTTGCACACTGGACCAGAGAAATGCGAGAATAGGACTTCGGAAACCAATCCTCGCTCAATGATCATATCTAAAACATGCATTGGCAATTCTCCCGAGGCAGCAAAGTGTATCTGAAGACATGAAAAGACCCTGTATAATACTATTGAAGAATCGCGACAGAAAATTGAGTTTCATACCTGTTCTTCCCGGGTGCAATGAATGAATTTGCAATTCGGCCGATTGCAAGTCTTGTTTTGGTAGTCATGACAAAACAGAGACTCCGAGCGGTTTCCCCCCAGGGACTCAAGTTCTTCATTTTCGGGATGCCGAAAACGGCACTTCGAACCTCGACGACATACATTACGCAAGAAGTCACGACAGATTTTGTCCCCAATCTCATTCTGATCTCCTACCCCTGAACCTGACCCCTCGACCTTATTCGCATGTTGCATCATCATTACGGAAAGAATCGGATGAAGCTCCACGTTACATAAGGTCCGGGTTCCGGTTGAAATGGCGAACATTCACAGGCGAATCGTTCATTGCGAAACTTCCGCACGATGGAACGGCGAAAGCACGATCATTTTTATCTCACGTCTATAGGCCAAAAACAGAATCTCTGACGCCTGATGCAATTAGAAAAAAAAACTGCACAATAAATTTCACGAAAAGAAACTTCGCATCGCATTCAACAATTGTGCAAACATCCGGGAAAAATTCACAATCGAAACAGCCCAAGGAATATTCAAATGGCACGCACAGATCTATAAAACTAGCCCAACTTCTATGAAATAACCTTCGATTCTTTCATCACACACTAGAATTTGTGAATAGGATAATCAAGCATTTAAGCCATCTGGTGATTCCAGCACGTTGCGGCTGCCATACACCGTTACATTAGGCGGATGTTATTTTAGCTGACGCATACGAATGCAGTATCAAGCTACAGCACTAGCAAAAAGAATCTCAACCAGAATTCCATGGATGCATGTATAGCATATAAGCAATCCAATGACTTGTCTACACAATGCCCAAGTACTGAATGTATTAGGGACTATGCTCACATTTAGTCCTTACATGAAAAAGAGGAAAAAATTGTAGGAGCTTTTTTTTAGAAATCCTTTGTACATGGGTTAATAGAATTAAGCATAAAGTATATCTACATCAGTACAAAAAATGTCATTAGAACAAAGATTCACTTGGTCTCATATGTAGATACAGTACTGGGTTATCTCTAATGTAATACTGTACTAGTAATCCACAACATATTTCTTCTGATCCTTGAGATTCGTTGTACTAGTCCACTTGCGCTGTATACAGTATTAGAAAATGTTCGGTACTTATGCACTGCATTTTTTCATGTCCCAATCTGAATTCCCTTGGGATCAATGCATTGAAATCCTCTCAAACTTCAGGGCTTTTTTCTCAAATTTTCCACAGCCTGTTGACTACTATTTTCTGACACATGACCAAGAAAAGCAATAGAAAAAATCACATAATGTGTTATGAAAATAAGTGACAGACCAATTGGGCAAATGAAGTCCTACTTCAAGTTCAGCATGCTGTGAACTCATTAAAGGAACAAGTTAAGGCCCAGTATCATACCCTCCTAGAAAGGAGAACAAGTGAACAACCCTCATCTCAATTCATAGATCTATAATATGGTAGGTTAAATATACACATAGCACGCAGCTGACAGTGCAGTGCATTTTACAAATGAAAAGAAGTGAAGTCTCAAGAAAAGGGATGACACACACTTTATTTTTCACGTAAGTTAACCACGGTTCCATGATTTATTCTTCAGAGACGTTCACCAGAACATCAGTGTCAAACAAATTTACCTCGTTGCTGTCACCAGCTTTATCAAATGAAACAGGCGACTTTTTTGACAAACTCAATTCAACATCCAGCGGAATATTTCCTGAAACAGGCACATCAACAAATCCCCCTTCAAAAATTGGATTTGAAACGCTCACGGGTTCTCTTCCTTCAACACCAACACCCACCCTTCCGGAATTATCTGGCAATTCTTCAGTAGCCAACAACCCGCCCCCATCTCTCAGTTTGGACCACGAAACTGTGCCTGTATCAAATTCACGAGTCCTCAAACTATGAAATCGGCGTTCAATGGAAGCAATCCAGTCCCCAAGGTCTACATCAGGAACATAATGCTCTACAATAGGAGGCAAGTAAAACAAACGTTTTTTCTTGGTACACATGAGCGATCCAAAGATGATCCCGACAATGAAAACAAATGCAAAAACGCCAATCAAAGCTGAAGAGGTAGATCCCGAAGACGCTGCTAATTCAGCTGCGAATATTTGCGAGGCTTTGATCAGGCTTTCGATTCTGAGAAATGTCTCAATGTTACGAGCTGCAGTTTCAGCTGCAAGAGTGTTGCCTGAAAAAAAATTGTACTGCATAATATTACGATCACCACATGCACAAGTCAAAGAATATTTTCACAGTATTTCAAGTTTCTTCTCCAATTTAGTGTCTCTGAGAGGGCCAAAAGGGTAGCAAATTTAACTTTGCGCAGAAAAAAAAAAAACATGAAACCAACCTTCTGAATGAACTACGACAAGTTGAAGAGCTCTATCATGAGTAACTGCATAAAACGCATTCAAACGTTGATCATTCGCAAGCTCAACATTCCGGATCCTCTCAATCCTCTCCACAGTCAAGTCCCAGTTCTGAGTTGCAGTGATACTCAAAGCTCCAGTCACGATAGATCCGCAAACAGGACAACAACTTCCAACTGGTCGCACCGGATCCGTGCAATATTGACTGTACGCTTCACACACCGAGGAAGAAACGTAACGGCATATTTTTTGCAGAATTTCAGGGCGAGCATTTTGGCACGTGCACTCCTGCTGGCTGACGGGATCTCGGCACGTTTTCAACAAGATTTTTCCTGGGCCTTGAATTTGCAGCAACCCCAGCTGCGTGTTCCTGGTTTACAACAAAATCCCGTTTATGACATCCAGAAGAAACTTCCATTACAACAAATTTAATTATACAGTAATATATTTTTTCTATCATAACTGACTTCGTTCTCTGGGTTCCAGGAACCACATTATAAAAATCTTCTTTTACATTTTTGCCTGCATAATTTTAGCGCAACAATTATTTTCCCCCAATTCTGTGCATAAGCCATTAAGGGATAATTCGATAATGGCAGAAAAATGAAAAAAAAGTTAAAAGGATTAATACTTCATAAAAATTAAAAACTTTTTCTGTGGAAAAGATTCAGTGTTCCAAAATATACACATCATGATGTATTTATTGGAAATTCTTCAGCTCCATCTTTGAGAATTCACCCATTTCTTTTAAATTAAAAAAAAAGGTTAGAAAAAACATAATTTTGAAAAATATCAATGCAAGAACGCAAAAAAATGGCCAAAGCAGGTTGAAGTGTGGGGGAAGGGTCGAATTGTGAGTCAACCTCTATTGTTAGTCAATTAGCAGCGTCGAAGATTTGACAGTCGAATTTTGGGACAGTCAAAATGTGGAAGGTTGAATGCGGGGTACCACCTGTATGCAGTACTGTATTACGTTAATTTGGAAGGAAGAGTTTCTTATAAAAAATACGTTTCATTTCATCTTTCAAGACAAAATCACATTAGAAAAACAGTTCCAATGTAAAAGTGTACTTAAAATTGTTCCACTTCATTTCATCACAGATTACAAATTGAGATAGCCTTAAATTATATGTTGCTGAAGCACTTCACAGTATTTATCACCGATTTCCCGCAGAACTTCAGTCTAAAATACATTAAAAACCATGAAAATCAATACTGTCACAATTTTCTAATACTGTAATGAATAATATTTTCCCAAAACCCAGGGAGTTTGTTTTAACAAGATTTTATAGTATTTTCACATGATGTCTACAGTTATATTTATTCTTGATCAATAATTTGAATTTGGAAAATGGACTTCACGCTGACACAAAACAGCAAAACACTTCACCTGTAGTCAGCAAATTTATCAGATGTCCCAAAAAGATCCCCAGCTCCAAGTTTTACAGCTCCCACTCTCACATCCTCGGAAACATTCACCCGAAACGTCGCATTCCCAGGAAACTTGATCATGTCTCCAGCGCAAGGAACCCTATTCGCCTCTGGCACGGGATTCAATCCTGCAACAGCTCCTTCGAACTCAAACCCGTAACCCCAATTCATAGGATCAAACCAGTCATCCGTCTGCTCCGTTCTTCGCCTCTCAGGAAATCTTTTCAAGACGTTGTGAACTCTGCCGTCATTGCTGCTGCTGCTTGTCAAAGGAGATCCCAAGGAGAAAACTTGCATTGAACCTGGGGTCAACACGACTGCGCCTGTGGAAGGGAAAACTACGTCCACGTTCACAAGCAGATTTTGAGGCCAGAAAACTGCTTCCCAAGATGGCAAAATCAATGTGTCTCCGGATTCGGGGAAGACTCCATTTTGCCACGCATTCGCATCGTCGAAACGAGAAGAATCCCTCCAAGTTTTCTCGTTTCCGTTCACGCCAACAAAAGTAGCAAAGAGAACTAAGTTGATCACAGTTTTGAACATGCAGAAACTTGCTACCTGAAAAATCAAACCAACAAAAGTAACGACGGTGTTCTCGAAACAATTTAAATCAGCGCGACTCAACACGAAAGTATGAGGTGATAAAAAAAAGGCGTAAAATTGGTCACTTCACAAACATGGCACCTTTTTTCAGAACAGCTTTTTTAGGAGACTGAATCATGGGCACTGAACGCTTACCTGAACCATATCGTTTTTTAATGATGTAAATATTTTTGCGCTACCCGCGTTTTTAGACGCACTTGGGATAACAAAAATTATAAAATTTTCGGGGAAGTTGCGCATTGCACATTCATCAAGTTGCTTCAAGCTTTTTTAAACGGAAATTGTTGCAATGCCTTCTGACTCCAAGTTATCACCGTAACAAAACTTACACTTACAATTTCAGCGGTTATGCCAGTTGGACATTAGACTGAAAAGCTGGAATTAAAACACGGTAATCTTGGAAGTTTCGAACACCTGGTACAGTAAAATCACGTATTGTATATTTGTATTTTAAAGGCAAATTGAATAACGCCAAAAAAAGGAAACCACACAAAAAACTGGAAGCCCAACTCACTTGCTGTAGAATGTGGCAATGGTGTGCCAGCATTTTGCTCAATCCACTTCCTGCAGAAACGCCTATTCAGGTGATTATGTGGCTCCTTATCACGAAGATTTAGGCTTAAATTTCCTTCAATATGCCGCCTTCTTTGTTTGCATAGAGTTTCCGAACAGCTTTGAATATTTAAACATTTGAAGAAGCATCTTTGCGCAAAAATTGCTAACAATGGACGCGAAGTTTTTTATAGGAATGATCCAACTTTCCAGCTTTCATCTCAGCTCTGTCAATGAAATACTTCCTAGAGGATTAAGTTGGACTGCTAGCATTTTTGTCAACTTGAAGTTTCTTAATTATTCTTCATGAAATGATGAAGTTCAAGAAATTTGAAATTTGAGGAAGCATCAGGTATTCTTATATTTGTGATCAAAAATGCCTCGAAGCACTTGCAGTATTGTTTGTTTTTTTAAACACAACTTTGACATCGACTTTGTGGAAAGTAATTGTGTGACCGCTAAAAACTGCCCAGCTCTTCGGATTTTGAATTAAAATTTTATATTACAGTATCTGAAGTTTAGTTGCCTGAACTTGTGTAACAAGCACACGCAATTCTCAAGTGAATTCCCTGGTATATCGCAGTATCTTTTTTTAAACATAACTTTGACATCGACTTTGCGGAAAGTAATTGTGTGACCGCTAAAAACTGCCCAGCTCCTCGGATTTTGAATTAAAATTTTATATCATCTGAAGTTCAGTTGCCTGAACTTGTGTAACAATAAGCACACGCAATTCTCAAGTGAATTCCCTGGTATATCGAGTCATTTATCAAATAAATAAAAACATAAAACACATTATGAAAATTAGGCTTGAATTTGTGTAGGTTGATTACTTGAAATTATTTTCCACAACGAACAACATATGAACGTACGGTACAGTACTTCCTCATCAGACACATAATTTCTGTTACCAAGCACATATGAACTATGAATCCATGTGATTGTGCAAAAGATGACGCCACAATGTGAACAACGATATTGTCTCCGGTTTCGGCTGACCTTTCATCAACGAAGAAGCTATTACAAAATATGATGTACAAAGTAATGAATTTATCTGTTGGCCCCTGAAGTATGGTTTGGAGTATATTTTCGCAGTTTAAAAGAACTTTTTCGCAACATGACTAAATAATATCGCTAATACAATTATCATTCGCACTATCAGTTGAACCATGTGAAAATTGCCTATGAATTTCAAGCTGAGTTTAAAATGAATGTTGATCGTGAAAAAAATGCGTGAAAGATGAAACGAACGAAAAATCATTAAAATTACTCGATGACATACTTTACAAATGACCGACATTGTTCATCCCACAATATTTCACACTTTCCATGCCAATCATTCATCAACAATTCAGTCCCAACTCAACTCGCGAAGCTAAAATAAAAACGAACAAAAAAAGATCTGACTCAGCGTTCTCAATCAAGACCACCGGAGAACGAACTCAAACAACTTTAACGCCTTCGATGTCCACTAAGCAAACAAAGAAGCATTGACAAAAAAATCAATTTGTTTGCCAGACGAAGAACGCAAGCTTTTGAACATCAATCCCAGACAGCAACTCGTAATTCAAGTTTAAAAAAAATAAACTTTCAGTAACATCGGGCGACCGATTCTTACGAGTGTCGAGGTTTTGTTTTTTGTTCTCTTCTAAAAAAAATGGTGACGATCCAAATTTTAAAATCTACAGGGACGAAAAGACTTAATTGTGCGAAGAAGGCTTTTGTTTATGTTCGGGAATCAGAATATACCCACAAATAACGAATGATTTTCTCCCGCGTCGTTTAAATTAAGCGAAAAAAAGATGGCAAATCCAAAAGAAAAAGCTCAATAAATATTCTACAATGAAATAATCAACATTCCGAAGGCGCTGCAGGCTCGTCAACGACAGCAGCAGCAGCAGGGGCATCGACAGTTTCGACACCAACGATAGACGGTTCGCATTCCACATCCTTTCCGATCATCGGGGCTTCTTCAACGCGTTCGAAATCACCACCGATCTCTTGTCTGAAATCACTGCCCGTGTCTTGCCTGAAATCACTGCCCGTGTCTGGCCTGAAATCATCGCCCGCGTCTTGCCTGAAATCAATTCCCGTGTCTGGCCTGAAATCATCGCCCGTGTCTGGCCTGAAATCATCGCCCGTGTTTTGCCTGAAATCACTGCCCGTGTCTGGCCTGAAATCATCGCCCGTGTCTTGCCTGAAATCACTGCCCATGTCTGGCCTGAAATCATCGCCCGTGCCTTGCCTGAAGTTGTCTTCGCCGTCGCCACCACCACTGTCTTTTCTGAAGCCGTCGTTGCCTCCGCCTTCGCTTTCTTGCCCAAAATCGCCGCCCATCTCTTTCCCAAAGTCGCTGCCGATTTCTTGCTCGAAACCACCACTTTCTGATGCGTCCTTCGCTGCTTCATCTACTTCGCCGAAGTTTTTCACACCTTCATTGCTCGCAAACGGCTCTCTCCCTGAGCATTGAATCGCTGCTGCTTCTTCTGCCTTCCTGTCATCTTCGCGTTCTCTTTCGTAGTGTTCTCTGTCCTGGCGTTCTTGATTGGCCATGGACCCCGGTGAGGTCCACGGCTGGAACTCCAATTCGTTCGGACTGCGGCTGTTGCGATTGCCACCGCTGCTGCGGGACCAACTATTACGTCCGCGACCGCCTCGGCCTCCCCTACCACCGCCGCCGCCGCTCCCGCGATCGTCAGGCCCACTTCTGCGATTGCCTCGACGGGGAAACGGATCTTCATCCATCAGATGTCGAGGTGGGGGCAATCCTTCAAAACCCATTGGATGTGCCCACGGAGGTGGGGGACCGCCACGACCTCTACCACGGAACCCACGACCTGAAAAAATTCGTGACAATTAAATCTGGGTCAAGCTGAGGCTTTAAATACAGGTTTTTTCCCCCACACGAGTTATTCGAGGCATGTTTGTCCGAAGAAAATTCTAGAAAACTCGCGAACACCTCTTCCAAATTTTGGGTTTCTCTTTGTCTAAGGTTAGATAAAAAGTAAACTTGCGTATATTTTATATGACACATGATTTGAGAAGCTTTGAATAATTGTGAATCTTACCTCTACCACGTCCAAAAGGCTGGAAGCTATTGCCACCAAATCCACCGCCTCCTCCTAAAAGAAACAAGATCATGCGTAAGCTTTCTCCAGTAAGACAAATAAATAATAAAATAAACTCTTACCACCCCAACCACCAGGTGCCGGGGGTTCTTCATCCGGGAAGATGCCCGGTCCTCCAAAAGGCCCATCAGGCATCAACCTTTCAAAATAAAATAAAGATTTAGAATCGAATAAAAATGAATCAATAACATAAAGTTGAAAAATAAAGATCAGACTTCCACGATGAATGAATCGAAATTGGCCAAAATTTCGTGAGAAGACAAGGTTGAATCAAAGCGACTCAATTTCGAACGATGGTCTAATAATTGAAGATACTCTGTAGAGATTATAGTTGGAAGTACTGAAGGATAAATTTAGAGGTGACATCAAGTCTTTGTTTCGAAAATTTCCTGAGCTTCGCCAGAAAACTTCTCGTTTCGAGGCAGGTTCAGGAAATTTTCGAAGTAAAGATTTGATGTCACCTCTGAATTTATCCAAAACTTCGAAACAGGAGAGATGCGCAGTTCAGGTAAAAAAAAATTTCTGCACATGAAAAGTTCCTAATTTATAAGTAATTGACAACAAGAAGTAGATGTAAATTCAGGCGCAAAATTTTTATGAACAAGGTCAAGTGAAGTATTTCTCTTACAGCCATGGAGGTGGTCCATCCAATTCTGCAAGTGGAATAATCGGCACCTTGGGGGGTTCCCTCATCTCTTCCGGGATCGGAGGAGCATCGCCAAGAATGCCTTTGGCAACTGGCAATTCTGGATCGGCATCTCCTCCCCGACGCAAATATCTGAAAGTTTCAACGCCCTCTTCGTCAGCATAAATCCGACTCAAATAAAAATGCCAAAAAAAAAAAAAAATTACCGTTTGTCATCAGGTCCCGGACTGTCAAATCTCGACCTACGTCCTTCTCGCCTCGGTCTTCTTCCCTCCTTCTCCCAATTACCTGTACCAGTGCCAGTACCACCACTATTGCCTCCCGCATCTCTGTCTCTTCCACGTCTGTCACGATCCCGACCACCTCGATCTCTGTCTCTGTCTCGCGATCGATCTCGGTCTCTGTCTCGATCCCTGTCCCTATTATCTCGTCGTTCGACCATTCGATCATTGTTTCGCCAACCGTTGTCACGCCCGAAATTCCGCCTGAATTCTCGGGAACGATCTCTTTCGAAAAACTCTTCGACATCTTCCTTCTCTACGTTTTGGCGCTCACGATTCCGGTCTCGCTCCCAAAGATGCTCTCCGTCGTCTTCTTCGCCTTCTTCCCGAGTTTCAAGAATCATAGGTCTGTTGGAAATGTTCAACATCATTAATGTACTTTTATGCCCCATGGATTCTCAGTCGAACGAATTGCGGGATTGCATCCGCAGGAGGCTGCATTTACGAAATAATTTCCCGAAATAAGATGTTTAAAATTTTCTTAATTTTTTTTTTTCAAGCTTAAAAATTCTTCTGCAGACTGCGGAACAATTCTCATGCCGGCAAATGTAGAATAAAGCATAAAAGACTTACTGGTTATTTTCGTCGTTGCCTCGTCCGAAGTTTTCTGTGGAAAAGATGGAGAACATTCCTCGTGAATAAATAAAAAACAACGAAAGATACGCAACTATTCGGATAATTTAGAAAAATAACTCAACAGTTTTAAGCGAACAATTCTAAATCAGATCATAGAGCAGAATATTGAAGAATAATTGTTTTCCTTCAAAATATTCCCTCGAGGTTCCTCGGAAGATCTGCGAGTTGTTGAATGTTTATCTTTATCTTGAATAAAATATTCGTCCAACCACGGAAAGAAGAAGTTGAGCGAGAATCCCTCAAATTTCGGTTGACTCCCTTCAATGCAAGCAGGAGATTCTCCAATCGCACAACACCGAAAACTAATTTGCTACTCCTGTTTGATCATCCAGAAAGCAAACAATTTTCTTCAAACTTATAAAGTCAGTACCTGAATGAAATTTCCCACGAGTAAAATTACGGCTCGTAAATGATTCCGCAAAATTGTTCAGAAAAACCCTTCACATTCCGAGACCCACTGAATTTAAATTATTGAATCTCTGTGTTTAACTCAAAGAAAAGAGAACGCTTCAACCAATTGTTGAAAAAGTAAACAAACCGGGAGGCGGCATCAACGGGGCCACTGGCAATAGGCCATCGTTCGGCGGGCCAACCGGGGGTCCCAAGCCCGGCAGGAAACCCATAAATTGTCCCGGCGGCGGCAATAGTCCAGGTCGCATTCCTGGCGGGGCCATCAGCATCCCTGGAGGCGGCATCATGCCAGGAGGAGGTCCGCCGATGAAGCTCATCATGGACAACCCAGGCGGAGCACCGGGTCCGCCCAGGATTCCTGGTGCCAAGCCAAGCAATCCCGGTGGCATGTTAGCCGTGGGCATTGGAGGCGGAGGCAACGGTGGTAGGAGAGGCCCGGGCTCCTTCGGAGGCGCCGGTGGAAGCGGAGGTTGCACGGGTGGCGGTGGTGGTATGACTTGAGGGGAATTTGAAAGGGAGCTTTGCGGGTCCATGATTGGCATGGGTATCGCGATAGGCACAACAGGGACCGGTTTCCTCATTAGTTGCTCTGAAATTAAAATTAAAACAAAAGCGTGATTAATGTTTTTATCAAATTTATCCATACCGTCATGACTAAAAACCCATAACGAACGAATGCACCTCTTCCAGGGGATGAACATGTCTTTCGACTAGAGGGATGACCGAAATACAGCCAAACCTCGATAAGCCGATACCATTTTTTTCGCTGGGTTTGCGTCGATTCAAAAGGGGGTTAATAGCTTATCAAAAAGTTGAATAATATGAAACCATTGTTCACCTCGTAAATGATCAGGTATCGTTTCTTCGTCCGCTGTTCCTCCGTCTTCCAGAATATGCAACGTGATATTCGGCGTTAACTTGCCATACGGGATATAACTCACTCCCAAGTCGCCTTCCCAGAAATCTTTCAATTCTCGATCCTTCACACCTTTTCCGGGAGCCCAGGCAATCTAACGAAGTCAAAAACGAGAATTTTGTTGATTTGTACAGAGCTAAAATTGACGAATGAGTAACAAAATTCGGTGATGGAAAATTTACCGTGATATTCTTTCCGCCAATAAGCGCGTCCTTCAATTTCGTCATGGCCCGATACGCGTCTTGTCGTCGTAGCATGCAAACGAAAGCGCAGCCTCTTGGAGAAATCAAGTCAATCGACGTAATTTCGCCAAAAGTTCCGAAAACGTCACTCAATTCAGCTTCGTGAACAAGTTTTGACAAATGGCCTATCCACAGCGTTGTACTGCAAACTGAAAAAAAAATTCCATTGATCGATCGAAAAAGTGCAAAACTCAATCGGTATATAATCGATTTATTCTAGGAGCTCACGTGGTATCCATATTTACTCTGACACACCTTGATTTTTTAAGAGGGACATTTTCCAGAAAAACTGGTCGCTTTTGTGAACACATTTTGAATCTGTGACGCATTTCTACCTTTGCCAAGTCATTTCATATTTATCGTAAAAATTACAAGATTGATAAAATCGCACAAGCGAAGATGGGACAGCTATTCGCAATACGTTCATCGCTTTATAAAAAACGTAAAAATCTAATTCGCGGCTTATCCTAACTTTCAGCTCAATCCACCATATTCAAAATTAAAATGTTGATGCCGAATCCACCAAGAAATCGACAACTCAACGCCGCTGCTACTTCGTCAAAAGAAGAGGAATTCGCTCAGGTTTAATTCTTTGAGTCAGAGGATTCAGATTAACCATCAGAATAAACCTGAAAAAGCAGAGGAATAATAGGAAAATACCGTAAATATATTTTTGGCATTACCGCGAGATTATAAAGCCAAGTTTGATCATCCATGAAAATACAATGCATTCCTTCGGTTAGGTTTATTTAAATTCGCTACTTCACAGAAGTTACATGAAGAAAAGTCCGACGAAGAAGCTCATCATTTCACCGAAAACTATTATTCACAAAGGAGAAGAAAATAAATTTGCAACACTGAACATTTCTTAATCGCTAAATTGTCTCACTTGATAAATGCCCGCTCTTGATCGGCGGAAGACCCTTTTTCCTTCTCTCACGTTCCCTGTCCTCATTCTCATCATCCACGTCCTTGGATCGACTCCTTCTCGTTTTCCTCCTCCTTTCCTTCGATCGACTCCCCGACCTCGATCTACTTCTGGACCGTCGTCGCCGTCTCCTTCCTTCTCTACTCCTACTCCTCGACCGCCTCTTCGGAGACGACCTCCGTCGTCCTCGTCCCCTCCTATCATCATCATCGTCGTCCAAGATAACTATTTCATCATGCTCCGACTGTTGCTGAGACGGCGGCGGATTACCCACGTTGGGTGGCGGGAACGAGAATTGTTGACGGGCGTCGAAGTCGCGGTCGTGTTCAAAGGGCAGCCCAGGAAAGATCAATGGAGACGGATTGGGCAGAGGAGGAGCAGGTGTGGATTTGTGTTTCTCACGCCACCCGAAACGCACGGGTTGCGCAGACCGATCACGCAAGTCTTCGTCCATGAGTTGTGTCTGCTGTTGTTGTTGCTGTTGGGCGGCAACTTGGACCTGATGGAAGTCCAGTTGCGGCGCCTTGAGGGCTTGGAGTCGCATCAAGAGCTCCGGATCGGCGAGAATTCTGTATCGCGCGAAAGGAAAAAATAGTATAACATGTTAATTGTTTCCACCGGTGATGAGAGAAGAAAAAAACCCCGCGATGGTCATGAGACTGAATATCGAACCCATTTTCCGGAAGGTTCCCCAGAGGAAGCAAATGAGACGCGTTTCTCCGCCGATTTTCACGACGACGCAGTAAATTCCGGAAAATACTGACGAAAATTGTATCCTAAGCTTCGCGAGACATCGTGTACATGAGTGAAAATCACCACGTACTGAATATAATAATGAACACCTCATATTTTGGGCTTGCGTATCAGCAACCGATCTCAGCTGGTCTATTCAACCCTCCCCCGGATAATACACCACATTATAAGTGATTTTCCCATAAGTTGCTGCCCGAGTTTATACTGCCATCATTATTTTCAAAGTATTCATTAATAAATCCCTTATTTTCTTCCACGAATCGTGTTGATCATATTCTTGCCCCAGGTTACAAAGAAAATTACAAATTGAATTAAAAATTTAATACAAATAAATTAATTAATAATAATATATTAAATAATTTAAAACTAAATTTATTTTAGTTCTCGTTACAAAGAAATTCAAGGGATCAGTAAAAAAATGTGTTGCATAGAGAATTTTGTCGTAGAAAACCCGTATGAAATGGGAAGAGAACCCTTTGTGGCCAAAAAATCATTACACAGAGAATATCGTTGTAGACAAGATCGTTGTAGAGCGTCCACCTGTACTATGCTATATTCCACGTTGAAAATCTCATACAGGTGGAGTTTCCTTACAACAAATTTCTCTGTAGAACGATTTTTCCTTCAGTCCCACAGGCCTCGGATACTCTCCCCTTGTTAAAGAGGTTCTCTACAACGATTTTGTTTTGTGGAACCTTGCATTTCACTGAGGGGAGTCCACCTGCAGTATATTGATCTTTTCAATTGAAGGGATTCATGAAGAAATTTTATAGAGATTTTGAAGAGATTGGCCGTTTCATATGACTTCACATCAACGAGTCACGGAAACTACTAGGATCAGGAACAATCACAAATCAACAGTATGCATTGTAGATTTACAGAACAGTACTTCTTCATCGCACTCCTTGAAGAACGGACTGAACGCAGGAAAGGATCAAGGTGATTATTCGAGACACCACTGTACATTACTTTCAAAAGGAGAAATATTGTAATGAAACTTCGATAGCATTCGACGATTCATTGGACATACTGCATGTACGTATTAGATACGTACACGACGGAAGGTAGAAGCTTTCAGAAAATTTTCGACGAAGCATAAGTAAACTTACGTAAAATCTTCGTAAGTAAACATTGAGTTGAGATTTTCGTGCCATCAGGGGAATAACAACGAAACAGACGAGAGAATACATCAAAACAATGAAATACAACATCATGCATGAAAATCCCAATAATGTCGTTGAAAATCGGGGCTTCGTACAGGTTTTTCACACGATGGATTTGAGCAACTACCAAGTTTCGAGCTACATACAAGCTTTTTAATATTTTTGATTGCATAATTTCTTCGCGTTTCGCTGAAATTTCATGAATTTCCGATGTTGAACACCTTCGCAATATAGCAACGCATTAACGAAGGGAGTTTGCAGAGAATCAGGAACTGATTGGCCTAAATACAGTACAATACTTACAATTACTCAGTTAACGGAAATTTCTTACAATGGAATTCTGATCGAAACATATAAAGTCAGTCAACGCAGAAACAACTATTAATCTAAACTTGATACTTCCTCAACTTGACAATGGTCATAAAATGTGCTTTCAGAAATAAATCCTTAATTGCAATACAAAACCGCGAACTCAGGCAATGGATTCAAAATCAGTGCCACAATCTCAGGTTTGAATGTAAAAAAGATCAAAACGAATATTTCTGACGGATCCGAATACTGTACTAAAAATAAGTACAGTATAATAATTTTTTTAAGCGACGAGGCGACGCTAACCAACTATTCATTCTCCCCATGAAAAAAAGGCAAAGGAAATACGAAGTACTGAACGGAGAAACTGGGGTAATTCGAAAGTTCGTGATTGCTCTTTCCATCCACGCATGGAGTTCGTTGGTCCTTTCCCTTAATCACTGAGACTAACGGTATCGAATATGGTCATTAAAATGTTCATGATACGAGACCAACATGCTTTTCTTCTCGCATGACTTCGATTAAAAATATCTTCCTTATTTTTGAATCATCCGGGACCAAATTGAGTAAAATCAATCTAACTCACAGCAGAAGAAAAACCGACGCCAACGTTTACAATACTCAAAACGAGTAAAAAAAAACTCGAAAAACTGAAAAATTTCGAACTAAAAAATTGTTTAACGCCAGGTATTCTGAATTCAACGTCAAGAATTTCGCAGAGAAACCAAATAAACTTTGAACTTTGAAGTTCGATAAGCAACGAGGAATTTTCTCTTTGCATATCGCAGTACTCGTCCAAGTGAAGTCCAGGAGAAAAATAAAAAATCGCAAGGGAGCGGGCGGAACTAACATACGGAAGTTCAATCCTCGAAAAATATCTAAATTTCAGAAATAAATTAAGAAAAATTCATGAAACTTTTCACTCCGAAGTTATTTGATTTTTTTTTTCGAATAGAAAAAGTCAGTGAAAAAGAGAGCAGAAACGTATTCGTCAACAAGTCGAGGACAATTTTAGAACACCAAATGCATATTATCGAGAAAGCGAAAAACTCAGGATTAAATAACTTCGTCATGGGCGCAAGTAGGGTGGGACAAAAGTTCGCTTTCAATCCATAAATGTTCAAGCAAGGCGAGGGCGAGAGTCCATCGAAATTCAAGAGCAATTGAGACCATGCAAAAAAATGTACCAATTCAGCATCAACTTTCACTTATAAAAATTGCAGCTTTTGAATAATCGAGGAACGCAGAAACTATCATCAAAAAAGTTTTCCAAGAGTTGTGATCAAAGGAAACAGAGACCTAGAACTTTCAACTGATCCCTCGCATTTGTTCCAAAACATCCCTCACCGAAATAATCATTCAGAGTACTGTACAGTACTAAAATCAACTTCAGAAACTTCCGATTGTCCGATCCACAAGATCGTGGAAGTGATCAATCCATCAGTTTAGATGCGGAGTGCACGAATAATACAACGACCGAAAATTACTATTCCGTGAAAATTCGAAGAATCTGATTCCATGTTATTCTTGTACGGTAATAATTCGTGCAAAATCACCTAGCTTTTTTTTCTCTCTTCACAACATGACGTAGAGGTGAGCAAAAACTTCTCCACTGGATAAAGACAAAGTGAAACACACCAGACGTCTGAAAATGACTTAACTTCATCAATAGATAATGATGAATATCAAAATGTCCATGGAGTCATTTAAAAATACATAAAAGGCAATTTCAACCTTCAGGGTGGATCAGAAAAAAAGTGGAATGATTTCAAAAAAGAATAAATCTTTGATACGGAACAGAAAGAGAATGTGAACCGTCTTGTCTGGCTGCTTACGAATAATTCCCACGGTCGGGGAAGTCCTTCGAAGAAAGTACGATTTTCTCTCGTAATTATGAAAAAAAAAACGCCAGAGTTTTTAAATGATAAAACGAGTCTCAGCGCTGAGGTACAAAAGTTGGAATGTAGATCAGGGAACGAACTTTCAGACAAATACAGTAAATGCCAAGAAAAAAGTTGCCATGCGTTAACTCACGAAGACTATTCGGATCTGGTGAAAGTTTGTGCCATTCAGGCAAGGCTTGAAATGACCAGCTGACAAGTTATCAACGCCAGAAGTTTTGATTTTTTAAAATTACACTTTCGAAATATCTTCAATTTCCCTGCAAACTTTCGACAGAACGGCGAAGGTGGAAAATTCCTACTACCGCAGAATTCAGCACTCAAGCAACAGAGGAACAAAATGAAAACTTTAATGAAACGATCTCTGAGTCAACCGAAGGATTTGTCATAAAAAAGTTTGAAAAAATTATTCAATAAAAATTAATGTTCTGGTCGAACCCGTAACTGGAATGCTGAATTCTGCAGCCAGTGGAAGGTTTCCTTCTTTTTTGTGTGTCAAGCTATGAGAAGTTCCGGGGAAAAATTGAAAAATCCTCACGCAAAACGTAAGCGCAAATGAAAAATTACGACTTTTTCCCAGCATACGATTCAATTCAAGTCGCTTGTAACTGGTACATATTTTGTAAAAAACTTTTCAATCCTCTTAAGGAAGCACATAAGACCTCATGTTCGGTTGCGCTTGATTTAAACTCTTACGCCAGTAACACTATAAAATTACATTTTTAAACATACTGCACCGTACATCTTCAACCGTTCAAGCAGTATAGCACCTTGAGGACAACTGCATTTCTTGGCTATCACCGCTCAAGATTTAACGAATATACTGTACAATGTGTATGCACAATTTATCAAATAACGGTACATATTTATTGAAGTCATGAACTGTGTTTATAGAAATGCATGAGACCCTGTTCAAGTATGGACATTCAGAAAAATTCATTCAGAGTAAACTACAGTATTACAAGTAGAAGGGGATGGAAAGTGATCATAATTCAGCATTGAATAAAAAAATGTGTCATACTTTAGTTAGGATTTTAGATAATTATTTCCTAGCTGTTGAGAACGTGATGGAAAAAAGCAAACACAAAATGTGAAAATACAGTATCAAGATTTTAAATCAGGAAAAAAAGCATACTTTGAAAATATGGGTACACACTCTATTTTTAACGATTTTCTCTCCATAACGAAGTTTTTTGTTTGCTTCCCACAGGGTTCTCTCCCAATTTTAACGGGGTTCTCTACAACGAATTTTTTCTGGTCCATTGAATTTCGCTGCAGAGAGAGAGAGAGTCCACCTGAATTAGGATGAAATAAGAGAAACATTAGGAAGCTATGAACCTCAATGATGAACAGAAATATGTCACCTCATAACCAGTATAAATCCTCAAAACCTACACATCAATGCAACGTATATTCAATTTGAGATTCTCGCACGGTGTCTTTTGACATCCTCATAATTTTGTTCTAAAATGGATGATACATGCTTTTGTTGAAAATTAATTAGCGAATGGGCGTTTAACGTACCGCACAAGACCATCCAATAAAATTGATCGATCGAGAGCGTTTCTCTTCACCAGGAAATAGCTATGTTGAGAATTAAGATGAAAAAACGAAAATACACATTGAATTTACTCTAGAAAAAATATATTTAAGCAACATTTTGAAACTACGAAGTACTGTATCGTACTCGTTCAACAACAACAAAAAACCGAAATGGTACCCTTAATATTTTAATAAAGCTGAGGAACAAGAAATTCGGCCAACATAACATTAATTTAGTTTCAATAGAGTGCGGGAAATGAAGATTTTTCAAAATAAAAAAGATAAAATACCAAAGATCATGAACATTCATCAGAGCATTCGATTGTAAAGTTTCCATACCATACACATGGTCCTCAATTGAAAAACATATTGAAAAATAAATTAAGTGAATAATTAATTTAATAATAATTTTCTCAGTTATGTTATTCGTATTAAAAGAAGTGTGCATTTGGCAGAAAATTATGCTTCAATTTTCTGAACTTAGAAAATATTTAAGAAAAAATGAAGCTAAAGAGTAAATTTTAGAATCACCGGAATAACCCCACAGTTCAATTCAATTGCTCTGTGATAATTTCCATTCATGTTTGTCTCCACCACATAAATTCATACGCGGGTTCTAACAAAAGTTAAGCAATGAAACTGGCTTACAATTGAGCTGACAAAAATGCATTCTTTAGAGAAAAAATATTCCTTGGCACACAAAAAAATATCAGCCCTGTTTGACAAATTTAAAATTTTTTTAATTAAAAAAAATTGTCAAACAGGGCTGATATTTTTTGTGTGCCAAAGAATGTTTTCCCTAAAGAATGAATTTTTTTCAGCTCAATTGTAAGCCATTTTCATTGCTACTCCGAGAACTTTTGTTAGAACCCTCGTATATCCATCTGAAAAATGTAGCCAAAAGAAGTACATTAAATGAAACCCTTTCATTTGAACTACAATGTCTGAAAACTATGACTGATGAAAATGGAATTTATTCAGAAATAAGCAACTGCGTTCACTGTATCTCAAATTTACGAATACTTTCAACTTTTACAGTCCTGCACTACTGTATAATGCTGCAAATTCAACGCTTTAAAGAATACAGTATTGATTGTTGCAACAAATTTTGTTAAAAAAAATTAATACTCCCAACGAATTTTTTGGGACCCTGTCCAATATCCACAATTTTACTTTGATTTCGTTGTAAAGAGTTTTTGTTCATAACGAAGCTTTTCAGGTCCCGAATACTTCGTCGTAAAGAGATTCTACTGCTCTAAAAAAATATATCCTATAATGGAAAAAACAATTCCAGAAATTTCATAATTTCCCCAAGAAAGAAGCCCTTAAACTTTAAGTGTTCAGCTTTTTCACTTGCAAGCTTCATTGTTGATCGGACAGTTGTAGGTACAGTCAAATTTTGTCACAAAAACATTTTCAGGGACATGGATACAAACTGGTCATGAAAAAACTGCGATGTAGAGAGATTCATGGTATTACATGTTCAGGGCAGAAATTTTGTGGGCAATAAGCAGTAAATGTTGTACAGTTATTACCTTACAGATGCATCAAGAATTGCCATAATTGTCCACTCTAATCAAATTAAAAGGACAAATTTTAAACGAACTTATTTTACATTGAACAGGCTTTTCGTTAAATGTCCTAATTATGTGCTAATCTTTTAGAAAAACAAAATAAAAAACCTCATACGTAGGGAGTATTTCCTTTCAACGTCAACTATTAATTCACATCCGAGTGTTTTTTTCTTTTTAAATAGAGGAATATTCTTCAGACACACTCTTTATTTTGAAGAAAGGAGCCATCGCTTAATCAACAAACGAAGCTGAAGAAATTTGAAGTAAAGCGATTATGCTGAATATTTTTGGCAAGGGAAATTTTTTTAAATACAAAAAAACGGTAATACAGTATAATGTACAGTAATCAGCATTTGTTACTAGGAAATTTTGGGAGTCAAATAAGTTTGCGGGACTCTAACATCATAATTTCTTCCGTTAGCTAAAAATTTCAGAACTAAAAGTTTGTCGCAAAAATATTTCAACTGCGTCGTGAAATTTTTTGCGCCAAAAATTTCAAAATGGAAAATGAATTCCTACGCAAGTGAAATCGTGAAAAACTTACACTCGAGTCAAAATTCAGTTGAAGTCCGACTACAAATGTTTATAAAATACAGTTTTGCCTGAAAATCTGTTCGCGGGACCACTCTAAGCATAACTCGGAACAACTATATTTGCCAAATTGATTCGTAGACAACTGTAATTAAACACAAAATACCCAAATAATAGTTTAAAATTACAACTAGCCTCAGCACATAAAATTAATATAATTATAGTCATTCAACATGGATTTTTCATGAAATACATTACAGTACTGCATTGCAAAATTTCAAATCACAGAAAAATTTCTTTGATTAAATTTTGGTAGGCACCATTCTCAAATTGAGACAAATTTCTTTCGACATCCACGAAACTTTTCGAGAAAATGAAGCACAAGCTACAATATACTGTAATTTACAGTATTCGTGAAGTAAAGCCCTACCACTACTTCAAGTAATGTGTGAACTTCCAGTAGAAACCACTAAGATTCTTTAGAAAAATCTTCACGTGAATTAAAAGTATTTAGCACGTTAACACTCAAGGTCTACAGCTTTTGCAAATAGGGACTCTTCGCTGCAATACGACGAGGATAACGAAACGGCCAATTATAGAAAAAAAATGTTCTAAGAAGAGCTAGATTACACCGTAATAGGAAGTTCGTCGGGGTAAAAAAATAAAAAATTTTGGTACTGGATTCAAAGTATTGTTTCACCATGAACAAAACGATTGCAAAAATACGATCAGGATTCAACTTGTTCAAAATACGGTATTGGTTTCTGCGATTAAGAATTTGAATAATTAGATAAAATGTTGATGACTTGAACTGAGTTGTGATGTATTCTAAAGATAGAAATTAGCTTAACAATTTGAATATTCTCTGGAATCAAGTTATTTACAGCATATAAATCATCTACATTTTACAAATTTTACGAAGACGATATTCGTGCTTCAACGCTGATACAAAAGCACATTCAACGAACTGGAAGGAGTTTTGAAAACTCAAGTGACTGTTCAACAAGATAAATTTGACTATCGGGCGACGCTCCTCAAGAAACGTCCCAAGTTTTTCAAAAAAACAAAAAACGGCAGCATTTACGCAAAACAAAATGACCTGCCACAAAATTAACCATTTTTCCAAAATCTCAAACAGACGACGATCGTCACGCACTGGGACAGAGTGTCGGTGACACTGGGCGTGACGCTTTGGGGCACGGGCGCCGCCGCAGCAGCAGCAGCAGCGGCCCCTCCGTTGGCGTCCCTGACGGCGGCGGCGGCGACAGCGGGCGACCCGCGCGCCATCCGCTGGTGCTCGTGCTGCACGGCGTGCTGTTGCTGGACCGTCGACTGGTGCCCATGGCGACTCCGGGCGTCCTCATCCGGGGAATCATAATCAAAGCCCAAATCCAACAGGCTTCCGTTGAGCGCCACCTGAACCCGGGAATAATACAAAGACTGTCGTTGTGGTGTTTCTCGCTTTTTCTTTTCGCTTTCGTCCCTTCCTCCCCACCGAATTCCCTTCAATATATTTCTCTCGGTAACCTCATATTCATTCCCCGCTTCTTCTAAGTTTTGAAAAAGTAAAATAACAAATGAAACAATTCGTCCCACCCCAATCGAAAACCGCCCCTCCGAAACCTCGAAAAAAAAATCATCCTCCTCAGCAGGTCGAAACCGAATGCGCATCTTCTCGGATTAAATTACACGCACCAAGAATCAACTAACAGTAAATTTTCACAATCACTTGTCCAGAAAAAAAAGAGGAACTCGGAGATTTGATTCAAAGGGCAACACAATATAAAAGGATTATCTCTTTCTATCTCTAAAACGACATTTTCCATTTAAAAAAAAGCCCTCGTGAAACTTGCAGTATCAATGAGCAAATTCACCACAGCGATGTTGATAACACGAGAGTTGATCAGATTTCGCGAAACATATGCTTTTGCGCTCAAGTAAGCTACGCTTAGCTTCACTGATATCTCAAATCATTTTTGAATATATTTTTTTTTCATTCTAATGATCCGGGGTCCTCCTGACCGACCCACGCAGCAAAATATAAAAAAAAATGAAACAAGCTTCGAGAACCTTCAGAGATTAAGAACAGAAACTTTAACCATACTTAATCATCACAGCAACTGCCGATTCATCATCATTACGTGATGGTTCAAGTGTCTACATTCGAAGATGAATCGAAAGCTTGTTTATTTCTAACTTTTACCTTGCCCGCCCAACATGCTAACAAGAAAGAGGGTACTTTAATACGAAACGATTTATTGCGGAACCCTCCAATCCTTTTCAGTGGCAGTTTTTAATATTTTTTTTAATGCTTCGCAAATTTCAAAGTGTGATATCACGCACTGTTCAGTCACGCACTGCTGTTCTAGAGAAAAAAAATATTTTCCTAAAAACATTGATCAAACTTTAAAGATTTTAATATTTCTTTTTTTTCATGCTGTGTACAAAGATACGTTGAAGTCGCTGAAAACTGAAAAATGAATCTAGAAACCTTTGAAATCATTTGAAAGCAAAATCAAGGTTTTGTACTTTTTTACGAGAAGGCACACGGAATCTGATCAACACTCGCACTGCATAAAATAATGCATATATATCGAAAGGAAAATAATTCGGAATACCTTAAAATATGGGGTGCACAAACATTATACAGTATCACCAATTCTGACACGCATTCAATTTTCCCACTGCGATTAAAGAAAAAAAAAGACCTGGATCGCGGAATATACCGGATATTTTTTTACTCGACTACCCCCGCATTCCCAAGATTTTCAGCCTCATGACCACCGAATTCATTCAAAGTGAAAGTGCGGAGAGCCGCGGAAAGAAGGAACAGAGTAGAGAAGAAAGATAGGCAGACAAAAAAAGATAAGGTTCCACTTACCTGTCACTCCTGTCGAAGTCAATGAAAGCAAACCCCTAAACTCGATCACACCCGAAATATGGCATCCTTTTTTTTCATCAATTTTACCGGAACAAAAATCGGGTTTGGACTAAAAGACGACCCTGCTGCTTTTCATGCAGAGAATCCTTTGGCGCATTTTCTTGCCATGCGCTGAGGGTTTGAGTATGTGTGTACTGTATAATATATCGATATAATATACTGAGCGTACAGTATTTCAAGCACAGTACTGAGGCTTTCTTAATTCCCTCCACGTCAACCAGAGGACTCAGGCATTAACTAAAGGACAGACACGACAATTGAACACGGAATCCGATCATTTCAAAAATTAATCTTGAACATCTAGGATGCAAAGCGTCAAGCGATGCATTTCATCGGGGACAGGAGGCAATTTCAAACCAACAATTTTGCCAGTCAACCTCTCATAATGCCACGACAATGCTACTTTTGCGATTTCAAAACCCATGGACACGAAAAAATTATACATTATAGTATTTTGGAATTCCTAAAACGGGATTTCTCCTGACGGGTGAAGTTGAAACGATGAAAAATGGACGTCAAATTCAAGAGGAAACGATCAACTGTTTATTTATTCAAATGCCCATTTTGGAATACGCTATAGTGTAGTTCGATCTTCAAGGTTATTCCAAAAAATCCACCGACACTGAAAAATTGCCACAGACTTTTTCAAACCTTTCATGAACAGAAAATGTATGTTAAATATCTATAACTTATCATTAAAATTGTAATCGAAGAATTTAATGAGCTTCATATGATTCCTTCGAATACTAGGAAGACGAAACAAATCAAGTATTGCAGTACATATTGATAGTTGAAAGTTATGGGGGGGGGGTGTTGGAGAAAATTTACAAAAAATACGATAGTACCTATTGCCCTGGCACAGTCTCCCATTCCATGTACGGTACCTGATAATTATAAAATCCTGAGCAAAGTTTTAGGTAATTTACCACGCGCGAAAAAATGACATCTTTGAAAATATTGAAAACCAGCCTACCTTTTTCCCGTACACCAAAAAAGAAAATAATGAGGGCATTTTCGAAGTTTCTGAGACTTGACAGGGAATGCCGGATTTTTTTGGAAACACATTTACAAATTTGTTCGTTTCACAATTTAACCGTGAGTAACCCTAATATTTTCGATTTTCATGTTCGATGCTTGAAAAACATATTGCCGGCGTAAACATTGATTTTTGCTTGCTACGGAGGGGCCTACTGATCGAATCGACGTCAAAATATTGTCTTGAAAAGTTTGAGTAGAGGCAAGATGTCACTCAACGGTGGGGGTCTTCATGCTTTCCAGCAGAAACTTTATCCGAAGTGTGTTTGAAATACATTTCATTTTTGTATTGATAGTGAAACTAAACACGCCGCCCGCATCACAAAACTCATACTACGATACGAATATTTGGATTGTCCGTAGTTTCAACGCTGAAAAAAGATTCTCAGGGAAATTTTTGAAACTAGCTCAAGGCATAATTCAGCAGTGAATTAGCAGCTTCAAATTTAAAAAGTAAAACTTCACTTGTATTTTTGCCGTCGGAATCCCTAACCTCAAAAAGGCTTCAAAACTGACGAACGGTACTATGTTGAGGTTCGTATTATAGATTTGTTTTTACAGTTATTCTTTTAACCATTTAAAATTTGTCTTTGTGGTTTGTCTTTGAAGTCCCAAGAACTAAAAAAAAAAAAACAACCGCTCGTATACGATATTGTTCCATCATTATCTTTGGGAAAATTATACTGTACGCGCGAAATAGGGGAACAAATTCTCGTCACTCAGCTTGCCTAAGATTCCGAAAACGGAAGTCGAAGTAGAAAGGAAATCAAAGATGGATAGAAAAGGAGAGAAAGAAGAAGGAAAAATTAGCAGAAATGTGTCGCAAAACGACACTCACAGTTCGTCCATCCGCTAGTGGTGTTCTCTTCTTAGGTGAAGCGCCGTAGTCAACACCACTCTGTCCGATCAGATCCCGAATGGCTTGAATTTGCCGCATACACAGCAAACTGTCGCTTTCTGTACTTCCAGACTGCGAATTCTCTCCCATCATCGGCTCCACTTCCTATCGGAATTGCGGAAAACAGCAAGGCGTGATTACTTTGCTCCACATTCAAGTTACCAAGAACAGTGAACGAATGAAGTCGTTATACAGTATCTAAAGACATCATCCATAAAATTAGCACGAACATTTAAAAAAAATAAGAATGCGAAGAAAATATTAGCAACTCATAAGATGTGATCGCAAATTATTAAAAACGTGCAAAAATTAAAGGCAACAAAGGAAATTCGGATTTCTTCAGGATTTTCATTTCCTTTTGAATTACACATTTCTTTACTCAGATTTTCCTCCCATTTGGGAATACATCGTAAAATCAGGGTATTCTCTCAATTTTCAGAATTTCCCATGAAAAATTCGGCTGAGATTTGTCTCGTTTTTTTTTTTCAATTTGAAGTTTGTTCCTCGAGTAAAGTTTGTGGAATTAAGTGAAATGGTGTCCAAAACCGGGTTCATTATACGAAATGTTTTTTCCTCAAGTGCCCACAGTTCACTGTACTAAGCCTGCAGAGAACCAAAATTCAAGAATTTTGAAGGAAGAATCTTACTAAGATTTGGACGTTTCACTTAGGTTTCTGGGTGGCTGAATTACGGTACATCCTTAGGTAGTTTTGCTATTATTGGATATTGTAAGAAAATGAATAAGAACATTTTGAAAAGCTGTACAAAGTTATTCCACATCGAGGAAGTCTCCTTCATTTTTAACGATGAGAACCTTCAAGTTTTGGTGCACAAATGAACGCTTGAACATAATTGTAAAAAAAATGCAATTCACGATTTGAAAGCCAACTAAGTGGGAATTTCTCTAAAAATTCAACTTGAGGAACCAATAAATTTCAATTTCAGACATTATTTCAGTTTTACTCGAAGAACTTCTACTCCAACTCAAGAAAACCTTTGTCTCACATATATGTCCTCAAAGAACTTCTACGCAAACTAAGGAATCTTGCGTCCCAGATATTTTTTTTTTCTGACATGGGAACTATACCGTAGTACCTGTTACTATGTACGCTAGTTTCCCCGAAGAAATTATCTCGTAACACACAGCGCCCCGTTTAACGAGCCTACTTTTTTTAAGCCTCAAGCCGTTAATTTTTCCCAATTACCTTTTTCACAGAAATTTAGCTTCATAGGAGATTTCGCGCAGTGCTTACTGAGGTAATGTGGTAGAAAAACCGGGTTGTTAATCGAATCAAAATCTACCGACGTAGGACCGAAAATCACTAGCAATACAGCTTTCGGGTTTCTTTTCAGTTTGAGCATCATAAAATTCCAATTGGAACGCATTAATGTATTCCTTGTATGCTTTCTTACGGCGAAACGCCTTCGAAACAACAATCAGATTTTCAAAGCGATTAAATTCTGCGTCATTAAATTTTGGACGCGTTTTCCCATATGAAACCTGGTTATTCCGGAAGTACATAATTTCTTCGCCCGAGGCAAAATTCGAAAGAAAAAAAACCTATGAAATATACGAAACGAAAAAAATCAATTGAGACGAAATTTCAATTTTCAATATAGATTTTCAGCTTCCGCATTCTTTAAAATTTCGAGTGAAAAAGGGCTTCGGAAAGATTCAATCCACTTAAAAACTGAACAAAAATGAATTCAACCACAGGATTTTTCCGCTGCTCAATTTCTGCGTCCTTTCTGTTCTTGCACGCTTGCTTTTGTGAATTGGATCCAAAATTTGAACAGTTCAATTGGAGGAGTCATGCAAACAGGGTGTAAATACCCAAGTAAATCTTAAGAGACGAAATCAGCCAAAAATACCGCCAAGTCTCTGGGGTTTATCGAAGGCGTTCTAATAAATTAACCCTAAAGCATTCAATTATGAACATCGCTAACATCTGACGCATCAGTTCGAGTAAGTCCGTAAGATGGGGTTGAATCCTTAGCATCAACACTTACCAATTCCATATCCTGTACGCCTCCATTCTCAGATGCTCCATACAAGTCTCGGCGTATAGTTATCCCAGCATTCGAAGGATCATTTCCTTTGAATCCCTGCTGAAGCTTCTGCTGTTGTTTCTCTTGCTGTTTCTTCAACTGCGCGAGACAATCGAATGAGAATTTGTCAACAGGTTTCTGATCAAACGAGAAATATCGAGCATTAGACGCACCAGTTTCGTCTCCACCTCTTCATGAAATGGATGCTCCGAGTCCGCAAGATCAATCAACGGTTGAATTATATCGGCGGGAAAGACCTTATGATGTTGCCAGAGATTCAGGACACGTATAATTTTGCTCTGGAAGGCAATTTGAAGAAACATTAATGATTAGCACACCTGGATTTTGAAAAAAACCGAAGAAACAAACCTTTTCTTCAGCAGTGCATTTGAAGAGATGAACGAAAGTTTCCTTGATGTTCCGCGAAAAACGGGGAGCAAAAGTATCTCGGTCGCCAAACTGATGCCGAGATTGGCGGACGATGGAGTCTATCACGTAGAGACCAGGGATCTTGTATTCGGGCTTACACTGAAGAAATTCAACAAGTTGATTAAGATCACCTTTCACAGGGCATGAGCAACTTACCCTTTGGATGAATTTCTCAACGCTTTGTACAACGTGCTTGTACATCTTGTTGGCTTTCAAAGCAGATTTCGTAACCGACATCATTTTGGCTTTGGAAATCGGAGGTTTTATCTCGTACAGAGACAAAAGCTGAAACGAGGACAATGATATGAAATTTTGTCTTCGTGGACAATTTTGCGAAATATTTCTGTACCTCTCCGTTGAAAGCCTCGACAGTATCCATAGCGACGGTGAATAATTTCAAGAATACCACTCAATCCCTCGACAAGACCATCCACTGGCCTGAAAAATACACGATAAACTTTTGAACAACGAAATTCATGTGAAAGATTTGAAGCTTCGGACAACACAAGAACAACGAAGCAAATTTCAGTCGACATTCTGGACCGTTTGCCCGTGCAATCAGAAAGGCGCTTTAAATTTTATTGAACGCAGCGATATCCACAGATTGGACAAAATCTTCGAAGTCCTGGATCTTCTCTGTGAGCTCGTCCACGGAGACCTTATCGTCTTCAATAACACACATAATCTGCAACTTTTGGATTCCATAGCCCACAGGTACGAGTTTTGCTGCAAAGCGAACCAAAATTAATCGATGGTCACGTTGAATTAACGCACTCTCTTACCAGCTCCCCAAATCAAGCCCTCCATTTCGATAGAGCGAACCTTCTCCTCCATGTCCTTCAAATCCGTTTCGTCGTCCCATGGCTTCACGTCAAGGAGTACACTGGATTTCGCAATTAATACGGGTTTCTTGGACTTCTTCGCTTCATAGGCCTTCAAGCGTTCATCGCGAAGCTTCTGTGCCTCGGCGCTCTGCGAACCGGTTCAATTTTGAAGGAAGATGACGAAGGATCGATAAAAATAAATCGCACCTCTTCCTCATCTTCAGATCCGAAGAGATCGACATCGTCATCATCATCGGCGGGAGCAGCGGTCGCCTTTGGAGCATCACCAGCGCCGGATTTGTTGAAAACCACACGCTCAGCATCAGAGAAACTAGAGATGTGTCGGAACCAACGAGCAACATTCGGGAATTTCACATCGGCAGGGGCTTTACCTATGGTCTTCAACGCAGTTACATCGCTTTCCGACGGTTCAAATCTGATTCAACAGCGACACCGTTGAAAATTCAATACGTGATGATCAATCTCACATACGTTACCCATCAATGTAGCTATGGTCCGCCAAGTGTGTGTTAAGTGACTTCAAGCCACCATCAGATTTCAAATCTCCGAACTTGTTCATATTGACTGCTAGGGAAATTCAAGAACCAAAACTAAAGAGCACCACGGACCTGGAACGAATTTATCAAACCGGAATAGACTAAAAGCATCAATCGAGTAAGACTATCAATAGTCGACATGCTGAATATAACGACACTCGCGGAAGAAATTACCGAGAACTCGCGGGTATACGGTCAGACACGGACTTGGAATGCAACTCCTCTTGTCGGAGCTCCAAAATCTTTTATTCCAGGCCTGAACGATCAGGATGATCCTCTGGAGCGGCGCAAAACAAGAAACCTGGAGCGAACTACTGTACTGTACCGTATTATGCTTCGAAAATCTCATCGTCGAATTACACAGGGCAATAAGTTACAGTATAATTACTTTACGTCACTTGTTCAATACGGAGTCCATGCATGGGCATTCCGTGATAGTTCAGCTTTTATCGACTATTTCGAAATTCAAACAACCAATCCGCAAGAATTCACTCACAAACGTGCATGAAAACCCGTTCAAATTTAGGTAAATGAACACTAACTCACGTATCAACCTCAGAAAGTCATGGAAGAAGAAGACCTAGAGTAACTTAAATTAGAACTACTGGACTATTCGACGACGTACATATTGCATCTACAACAGTACTGGCGCTTTCATGCCGAATATCAAAGAGCTTCAGTATCAGGTTGCGTTTAGATAAGAGCGCGGTAAGGTGCCGCTTACTAAGGTAACATCTACTAACCAAGCGAAGAAGTTTATTTTCTTGTCCACCAGAGCCAACCGGAAACTGAATGTCGGCCGGGCCGGGACACGTGTGCGATCGGACGTCCAGTAGTGGATTTCAAGTCAATTTCTCTCCGACCTCAGCCCTTGACTTCCTGACTCACTATTTGCGTACCTGATTGTGATACCCCAATTTCTTGTGGTTCGTGTGCAGTGTCGTCGTCGTCTTGATAAGGTAATACAGTATTACTTATGTGCTTCGTTGCATTCTCCGTGTTCTATTCCTTACCGTACAGACGTAAGCTGCTAGCTGGTAAGGGAGCAAGTTTGCTGTGGTAATAAAAGCTCAGTGGTGGTTCTCTGCAGGTGTTACAAGTGTTCTTTCTGGAGGATTTTTAACATTTAAAAAATGCGTCCAAAATCTGGAGGAAATTATATCTGGGGTTTCGGAACGCGTTTATTTTAGAAGTCCATAAGCCTCGGATATGAGTTGAATCTAATAGATGTAATTTTTTTTAAGGCTGCCTGGTATCTTTTATATTTACGTGTAATTTATCGAATGCCGATTGTGGATGACGAGTTTAGCCATCAACGCGTTGAATAACACCCTTTCGGCGTATTTACATTCCATTGTCGGCAAATCTGTTTCCGTTGAACTTCGTAATGAATCTTCGGTCAGCGGCCGTCTAAGTGGTGTTGATGGGTGAGTAATATGCCTTATCTATACTGTACCTTTTTGTGTACAGTATTCATATGCTGAATCCATTCACAGATTCATGAATTTAGACCTGACGAATGCAGTGTATGTTACGCCAAACGGAACGACGCAGAATTTTGAAGATTTCCAAGTGAGAGGACGCCAAGTCCGATTCGTGCAACTCCCACCTTGTGTAAGCACAATAGTTTTATTTTTATTCCTCGCATGTGCAGTATTGTTGTCATTCCTCGCATATAGACGTTCCCTGATTATTTCTCCCTCTTGTTTCCGGACTGGTCGCGTATTGGTGGGATTTCCAAATACTACCAACCGAGACAGAGAAGCGTTAACTGCTCTGGCGATAACCCGTGCGCACAGTCGATCCTCGGTCGTGAGACGCGATTGAGCTACAGTATTGAAATTCATTTCCAGCTATCTTGAGTCGGCATTCACAATTCTTCGAAGTATTTAGCCGTTAGTGTTCCGCCCAGCCTAGTTATAAATTTTTTGTCAAAGTACGATGCTTTTCTGGTACGAGTGTGTGTGAAGATCTTCTGTATTTATTTTTATGATTTCCTTTGGCTTTCGCAGGCGAACCCTGAAGATGATCTGAAAAAATACTTCGACGAGCAAAACAGGAAACGACTTCTCTCGAAGGTCGCTAGTTTGCAGTCTAGTGGGAATTCCAGGTTGCTGAAGGAAACTCGTCTGATGCGCGATGAGCTGAAAAGAGAATTCTCAAAGAAGAACTGAGCATTCCAAATTTTCTGCCTGATAGCTACATAAGTTGTTTCCATCATGAAGTTAGGTTTTCGTTCGCGTTTTCGCATGCAGTCATGCAAGATAATCGCTCTCACCTCTCTGGTGTGGCTCGTCTTCGACGTATTCCTCTTAATGTACTACATGACTGATTGCTCCGATGGTCAAGGGTGGGGTTGTTCAGGTCGTGAATCAAAAAGTGCTCCTTTGCTTGATTCTCACGAGCCGGCTTTCCACCCTCGTGATGTCCACAAACCAGTCAAGAAAAAGTCCACGTCAGAACTTGAAGCACTTTACGAAAAATTGAAACACACACTGGATTACCCCTTGGAGAAGTTGCATCGTTGGACAGAGCCTTTGCCTGTTCCGACTGATGATTCGAAACCTGGGGAAGGTGGAAAAGCTGTGCAGATTCCTCCTGACTTGGAAGCCGAAGCTAAGCGGAAATTTCAAGAGAATCAGTTTAATGTGCTTGCCAGTGATCTGATTTCGCTCAACAGGTATGCGTATTTCTATTTTCGTGAAGTGAAGTCGTTTACATACATACCTCTCTAACTCTAAGGAACTCGATCGATTAATTCGCTTTTGTCCAAATCTGTTCGTGCTCTGCCCAACTCAGTGAAATCCGTAGAATTTGAAAGGTGGGTTGGATTAAACATGGCGGATTCAAGTTGAGAATTTGGATTCCAGGTCACTGGCTGATGTGCGGTTGACGAGTTGCGCAAGCAAAAAATATTCCCCTTTGCTGCCTTCAACTTCAGTCGTGATAGTGTTTCACAACGAAGCGTGGACAACGTTGCTTCGCACCATTTGGAGCGTCATTAATCGTTCGCCACGTGCCTTGCTCAAAGAAATCATCCTCGTGGACGACGCTAGTGAAAAAGACCACCTGGGCTCTCTGCTGGAAGAATACGTGGCGAATTTGCCGGTGCCTGTTCAGGTTCTTCGCACGGGAACGAGATCCGGGTTGATCAGAGCCCGGCTTTTGGGTGCTAAGCACGTTCGCGGAGAAGTGATAACTTTTCTGGATGCCCATTGTGAGTGTGCGGATGGTTGGTTGGAGCCTTTGTTGGATGAAGTGGCGAGGGATCGGAAGACGGTGGTGTGTCCGATTATTGACGTCATCAGTGACAACACCTTTGAGTATGTCACCGCGTCGGATATGACGTGGGGCGGTTTCAATTGGAAGATGAATTTCCGTTGGTACCGCGTTCCCAACAGAGAAATGGACAGGTCAGTGTTTTTGTTTCTTTTGCCACGAGTGAATATATTTTTTTATTTTATCGCTTTTGTTTCAACGCGGTAGCAGTGGTTGTTCGAAAGATATCCTCACGTAAATGCGGTTTTGATGAAATTTTGCGAGTCAATCGTAAGCTACTCCGGAAAAATGAACGGGAAATTTTCATTTCTGTCCTTTGTGTTGATGAATTACAATGAAATTTTGTAAAATACCTTAATTTTACTTCGTGCTCAACGACAGCAATTTTTGCGATCCTTTCCAATATATATGGCAGTTTGAATCGAGTTTTCTACCCCTTTTCTGCAGCAGATTTTCTTTTCTTGGTGAAGTACGTTTTTTTTAATGGCCGTGTGAACTACCGTATTACTGGTGGAATCTCTCTCTCTACCACGATCTTGTTTGCAACGATTTCATTCGTACAACAAATTTTTTTGGTCCGTGAATTCTGTTGTAAAGTCCTCCTTTTCTAATATACAGGTGGACTGTCTCTGGAACGAAATTCAAGGGTCTGGGGAAAATTCTTCGTAGAGGATTTTGTCATAAGGAACCCTGATAACATGGGGAGAGAACCTTATGAAACTAGAAAAAATTCTTTGTGCAAATAAAATCGTCATAGAGAAGATTGTTGCTAGGAGAGTTCACCTGCATTATGTAGAAGCCAACTAAAATTGACAATTGAAATTGGAGCAGTTGGACCTCTGTAAGTTGAATTTTTAGTGACCAGGAAAAAAATTCGACTTAAGGAGGGTTTGAGGTAAGGAAACAATCATTTTTGCTGCAAGGATAAGTAAAAAAAAATTGCAGGAAGTTGTAAATGAGGATATTCTGGGCCTAGACTTTCTTCTTGATGAGTTTGCAGCTTGCTGAACTTGGACAAAGGGGTTCATTTATTCAATTAGTCTTTCAATTTCTGTCAAAATACTTGAAATAATTTTTTATTGATTTTCTCTTTCATATTTCAAGGAAATAGTAATGAAAAGGCCTAAGAAAATTCGATAAGGAGGTTTGAGAGAAGAATTCGAGTTGGAGAGGTATTTGACTTAGGGAGGTTCGACTTATGTAGGTTCAAGTGTATACAGTATTTGTTGTTTTAGCTTATGCTTTTTTTTAATGCTGCTGAATTTTAATTAGTTCACCAATTTTCAGATCCGCCATGTAAGTCAAGAAAGGCCACCAGAAAATAAATAACAGTTTACAGCAATTTATTAAATTGGGTTCAAGCAGAGAATTGCCACCAACATCTTGGCTTTGATTTTTCATTTGACATTGTGTACATACATTTCTGGGATGGTTGAAACTATTTTATTTGTCTATCTATGTAGAGACTCCTATAACATGGGCAGAGAACCTTACAGGATTAAATACAATAACATCGTTATAAAATATAGAGAAATTTGTTGTGGAGAGAGTCGGCTTGTATCTTTTATGTGCCATGGTTGAAGGTAAATTCAATTTTACATGCAACGTGTAGCTTCAGTCAATTGAAGAATTGCATAATGGTCGGAGTATTTTGGTTTATTTTTGAACTTTTTTATGTAAGAAACTACAGCGTGTTTTCGCTGTTTCAAGAGGCATTTCCTGGGGGAGAAAATTAATCGGTGTTGTCGTATCTTTTTAAATGTCAATAATATCTTCCGCTGAGATATGCCAGAAGAAAAAGCTTCTAAGCTGAAATTTTAAATCAAGAGAGCTTTTTTGAATGCCGCAACCCGTGTTGACGACTTTTTAAAAATTTATTCCTTTTTCATTGCGGAAATGAAAGAATGACTTGTTCATGAGAGATTTTTTCTTGGCCCACTTCGCATTTGCTCCCATTTCTTGTGTTGTTTGAAGAAAGTGTTGACTTGGTGCGCTGCTGTTTTTTATCGCATGACTAGTCCCGTCACGCCCCTGTTTTTCATCGGCCTACTTTTTTCTATTCGGTACTTTCTGAAGTCGTTAGTGTTAAATTTTTTTTCCCTAATCGAGCCACGCATCTACAGATGAGCTTTTGTTGAACAAAAATCTGAGAAAATGTTTTTCTACCGAGACTGTTTGACAATAAATTTTTCTTTTCGCCCGTGCTGCGTCAATCGTAGCGAAGTTCATCCAAAAAACAAGGTTTCTTTCATAAAAAATCGTTATGGATGCAATTTTGAAAAATATATAAACGGAGTTTTTTGTCGGAGCACTAGTAAAAAAATAATTGTTGGTCGTCATTTTCTTCAATTGATTAATTCAACGTTCTGTTCGATGAAGAAAACAATTTAAATCAGTGGGACGTTTGGGCTGATTTCCCGCGAAAATTGAAGGTTCATGTTCAGTTTAATCTGAAGAAACGACGGCAAGTGATTAGGACGTCTGTGTCACAATGAGACCTGGAAAAGGCCTTATCGAGCACATTTTTTCGTCATAAAGTAAATAATCGAGAATCTGCGTAGTTTATTGTTGCTGAATCCATCGGAGAATTGCATTACTGACGTAAAGGCAACGAGTGTTCCAACGTATCGAATAATTTTTGCAGTTTGATCAATTTTTTTGTGCTCTCCATTGGTAGCCAGTTGAGACAAGTTTACATATTTTTTCCCACGCTTCAAATCAATCAATGTTTGGTTCATGTCCGATGACTCCGCTCACGAATAAGTTTTTCTCACGTTGTCAGACTATCCTTGGATGTCAGATTGAAAGAAATGGTCTGGTTACAACTGCTATGGATAGAATTACGCCGTGTGAAGATTTTCTTTATCTTGTAGATTGCAGATTTTTTAGTGCGATCTCGGAATATCCTAATTCAAAAAATAGTATCCTGCTCTTTTGTTCAAATTACGTTACCGCTGCACAGATGAGGAATTCCCTGCGATAATTCTCTGGGATGTTCCCGTCGCTTGAAGGAGATAAGAGCCGTGGGATCATAAATACCAGTTTGCCAGGAAAAAGCGTTTTCTCTCTATCTTATTTTATTATTATACAGTATACAGGAAAATCTGATTTGAAAAAAAAAACTTCTGAGGACTTCAGAAAAGTCTCTTGTATTGCATAATTTTTTATGACAAGATTTTCAAAATTAATGACTGGACAATATTTTGAAATCAGACATACCTTACAAAAATTAGATCTTGCTTTTCTTGCATCCTTTGATTTTTGTTATTGTTTGAAAAATTGGGTGATCTTCTAAGAAAATTAGTTTCAATCATGCATTTAAACAGTTGACCAACTCTCCTCGTTTCACCATGCTACAAGAAACACTCAGTCACATTTGGGATTGGAAATTTCAGGCTGTTTCTGCCATAGTCAGGACATTTCCACCTGGGGAATTTTTTAAACCTTCCTCAGAAAAAAATTGTTTCACTGGAATTTGAAGTCTTTTATAACTTACAAGATTTTTAAAGCATTTTTTGTACTCTGCAGGGTTTCAGCTGGGGCTTGAGAAAAGTTTATTATGCCAAAAAATTTGTTGAAACAAAATGTTACTGCACTGGAATTTGAAATTTTGTTATGAGATTTTTCCAACATGTACTCTATGGTCTCTCTTCTGGGACTTGAGACAAGTTTTTTATTCCGGATGGATTGTTTCAACAATATTTTTTGTAACAAGGTTTACCTGTACTGGCATTGGAAAGTTTTTCATAACAAGATTGTTTTAAGATGTACTCTACACGCTTTCTGCTGGGACTTGAGAAAAATTTGGTTGTTCTCAAAAGCTTGTTGTAACTTGTAACAATATTCATTGTAGCAAGATTTTTACTTTATTGTATTTGGAAAGTTAGTTTTACTTAACAAGATTTTTCAACATTCACTCTATAGGCTTTCTGCTGGGACTTCGGAATTTTTTTTATACTTGACTGAAAAATTTTTTACCAAGATTTTACTGTAGTGGAATTGGAACGTTTGTTTTAGCAAGATTTTTCCAGATTTACTTTATGGGTTTTCTGATGGGACTTGAGAGAAGTTTGTGTTGAAAAACGAGTTGTAACAGTATTCATTGTAGAAAGATTTTAATGTATTCAATTTTTTACAGACGCGGTGGCGACAGGAGTGCACCTTTGCGTACGCCAACCATGGCCGGAGGCTTGTTCTCCATCGACAGGGAATACTTTTACGAAGTCGGCACCTACGACGAAGGCATGGAAGTGTGGGGAGGCGAGAACTTGGAGATGTCCTTTCGGATCTGGATGTGCGGCGGGAAGCTGGAGATCATCACGTGTTCCCACGTGGGCCACGTTTTCCGGGACAAGAGCCCCTACACGTTTCCCGGCGGCGTGAGCAACACTATATTTAAAAACTCGGCCCGGGTCGCCGAAGTCTGGATGGACGAGTGGAAGGAGTTCTTTTACGAGATGAACCCGGCTGCGAAACGTGTCAACATTGGGGATATCTCTGCGAGGCGGGAGCTGAGGGACCGATTGGGTTGCAAAAGTTTCAGGTGGGGTTGAAGTTGAACTTTCGTGCATTTGTTTTTCTTCCGGTTGTTTTTTTTTTCGATGTGATTTTTGAAGTATCAGTCCAGTGAATGCCCCGTGTGTTATTCATTCGAACATGAGGAAGTGCGTTTTTATTTTGGCGAAAATAATAAACTTAAAATAATCAGGGTGTGTCTTGATGTGCAACTCATAACAATAGACTGGGTTCCTAAAGTCTTGGGTGAACGTTTTCTTTTTTTTTCCTCTCTCGTTTGTAGCAGTCGATTAAATCGATATAAACCAAAGCAGTAAAATCCCGTTGCGAAAAAAAACAATATGACCGATTTTTCAGTATAACGAACTTTTTTCTAGTCCCGGAAGAAAGCCCATGAATAACATGTTAAAAAGCTCTTGCTATGACAAACTTTTCAATTCCGACGCAGGGAAATCTTGTAACAACAAATACAGTTCCAACAAATTTCCCAGTACTGTATAATTAAATTTTCTCAAGTCCCAGCAGGAAGCTCATAGATTGAATGTTAAAGCAATCTTGTTTTAACAAACTCTCCGATTCCAGTAAAATAAAATCTTGTTTCCAAGAAATCCCGTTTGAACAATTTTTTCAGTATAACCAACTTTTTCTCAAGTCCCTGAAGAAAGCCCATAGATAACATGTTGAAATAATCTTGTTCTAACATACTTGAAAAATTTCAGTGCAAAAATTTGTTTGGTATTCATTTTTTGGATGCAAGATAAGCAAGATCTAAATTTTCGTAGGCAGGTCTGATGTGAAAATTTTGTCCATTCATTAATTTTAAAATCTTTTCATAACAAATTATTCAGTCTAAAAACTTTTTCTTGAAGTCCCCAAGAGTTTGTTGTAACGAGGTTTTACTGTGATCATGAAACCCGTTTCATTTTTGCAAAGAATTGGCTTAAAATAATTGGGGTGGGTCTGATAACGATCAAAGTAGTTTGCATAAGTCTCGGGGAAAATTGATTGTTTGCCTTTGAAATGATACCCGTCTCTGGAGTAACAGTCGATTGATGTTGTATTAATAATTCGAATAAAAAACGCGTTTCCTTCTGCAAATATTGGCTTAAAATAAATGAACTGCGTCTTATTGCAGTGGTGCCTCTTACTACATTTTGATTTGTTCAAACGAGTGATTCATTACTTCGGATGCGTTTCTTCGTGCAAATTTTTGCAGAACAAATTAATTTCGTCCAAACCGGAAAAGGAAAATTTATTGCGGCGCTTGTTCCATCTATGTGTTCTGGCTATGTACGGTATATTTTTGCGTTGCAACTTAAGTCTGTAGTCACATTCCTGCAGTGAGCCGAGCAAAATTGAAAGCTTGCAATGATCGTTCTTGAAAAAAATACCACCGAGAACGAGTTGATCAATTGGAACTGAGCAATTTGGGGAAAATATCATCCAATATTTATCCTTTTTTGATGAATCGAAAAAATGAATTCTTGCCTTCTTTCGTAGTTTTACTTGCTGCTTTCTTGAGCTAGATATTAGATGTCGCTCGAGTCATTTTTAATTTGTTTCCCAACTCATAATTGTTCGAACATTTGTTCATTGCTTCGCAATGTCGAAATTCAAATAACATTGCGACTGTTGGTAAAGGATGTTTTTAAGAAACCGAATTTAATGTAGGCATGCATTTGTGTTGATGAGATTTTTATTACAGTAATAAATAAGATTCTTTTGTACTTGAAAATCTGCCATGACGCAATGGGATCGAACACGTTTTGTTGGCATTGGCCGCTGATTCTCTTTTAGTTGGCGTCTGTTTTGAAACGCGTTCATGAGGATGCTTAAAAAAACAATTTTTTTGTAAGCTATAATGTAAGTACTGTATAATTTTTTTGTAAGATTTTTAAAGTAAGAATGTACTTTACCTGAAAAAATCCTTTCTTTGTGTCATCATGTAGTGATTTAAAAAAATTGTTGGAATTGGCCGCTAAATTTCCTCGACTGTTTTCCCTGAACGATCGAGCATATTGATTTATTTCTTCTTTTTATTTTTGTGGAATGCAGATGGTATTTGGAGAATGTCTATCCGGAGTCCCAGTTGCCCCTGGACTACTTCTACCTTGGCGACATCCGCAACGCCCTCAACAACAAGTGCCTGGACACGATGGGTCGCAAGGGCGGCGAGAACCTGGGCCTGCAATACTGCCACAGCATGGGCGGCAACCAGCTGTTTGCCTACACCAAGCGGAACCAAATCATGTCTGACGACAATTGCCTGGACGCCAGCTCCGTCTCTAGTCCCGTGAAGTTGGTCCGGTGTCACGGACTGGGCGGCAATCAAATGTGGGTCTATGACGACACGACTCAGGCCATACGACACGTCAACTCGGGTCGGTGTTTGTCCGCACCCGATGCGCGGGACCCGACGTTGCCGACGCTCAAGCAGTGCGACGGGTCGCCGGCGCAACAGTGGCTCATGAAGTTTGATTTCAAGTGGCAAGCGAACCAAAAGTGAAAAACCCCCCATGTTCAAACAAGCATAAGTACTCTCCTTTTTGTTTGATCCCCATCCCCACCCGGTATGCAATCTTCCAAAAAAATGAGAAGAAAAGGAAAATACAGGAAGGTCAGGCAGTTGAAAGAAAATCGTAGTGGGAGTAATAGTCAGTGATATTTATTTTTGCAAGAAAATCACGGTGGGAGTAAATTTTACGAATATTTCTTTCTTTTTTTAAAGAAAATTCTATTAGAAGTGATAGTCACCAATATTTTTTTTTACTCAGGAAATCATACTAGGTGTAATAGTCACTATTATTTCCATTTGGAAGAAAATCATGCCAGGGGTAATGGTCACTGATTTTTGTTGTTCTGTAAGAAAATAGTAGTAGGAGTGATTGTCACTAATATTATATTTTGAAGAAGGATTAATAGTCGCTAGTATTTATTGTATGAAAAAAGCATAGCATGAGTTATAGTCACTAGTATTTATCTTATGCTGAGAAAGGAACGCTCAAGTTTTCGAATTGATCACCCCTTTTTCAGGTCAAATAACAGCTTGTAGATTAGTTTCAAATAACAATTGAAAACAAATTTTCAACTTCTTTACTGGTGCCAGAATAGTGCAGAAGATTTTCTGAAAACTGTTTCCCTACTGAATATCATTTTAATTTGAGGCTTCAAATAGTGTCAGCAGTTGAATATACACACAGATGCATTTTTGGTGATGTGAATCTTCAATTTACAGCACTAGAAATGGTGCACAAGTTTGTGGTGCAACAGAAACTTTGGATAACCTAGTTTAGCACTCTATGAATGAATTTAATTCTGCGACAGATAATCATGTTTCTACTAAATTTATTACAATTTTGTGTGCTAAAAGGTTAGAGAAGTGCTGCTCTAGTATTCTCCCAATCATGTGAGGAAGGAAAGTTAAACGAGAAAGTGAGGCGGGGATCCATCAAAGGAGTGCTTTGAAACTTGTTTTCAAATTTTGTTTTGGCAGATTTTGATCGATGAGCTTTCTCTGATGTTTCCTGAGAACCACGAATTATTTGAAAATTATTTTTTCTGCCGCGTCAATCCCACTGCGATTTTCTTCCAAAATGTTTCCTGACCTCCCCGTGTATCTCATTGGTTGTGAGCCATAGATCAACACGTTCAAAGAAAAGGTGCCCCATGTGTAAAATGCTCTAGTGATCAACGTTCAGCAATAAATCTTTCCAAAAGACACACAGAAAGAAAGGAGAGCATTTAGTTGGTTGAGCATTTGGGATTCGGATGTGCGGTGATCGCTTTAAAGTGTCCTTCCTCGAATCATTCCGTCTTCCCTTGCTTTGCAGTTTTTGTTTGTTTATTTTTTAAAGCTTGCGTGTGATCTGACGAACGAGAAATGTCTGGTTGATAGGTTTGTTCATGATGAGAATCCAACGATGATAAACAAAGTGATAGTCTTAGTGGATTGCGGTTTGGCGTGTTTTTTGTTTTTCTTTTTTATTGATTGCTGAAGAGCGAGTGGTTGAGCAGTATTTACGAAGGGCGTATTTTCTCGATCCCTCAGTTTATTACAGCGCTGACACAGTTGAGCGTGTTGCAAAATAGGCGCGTAACAGAAGAGCATTCCTCAAGATTGTGTTTGTGTGTCACAAAACCGCGTCTCAAGCTATCTTTTCTCAAAACGGCAGAGCTCGAATGAGCGTGTTCCAGAAGGGCACGTGCCAAGAACAGCATAAGAAAATGATCAATCATGTCTGAACTGATGGTGCGTCATTGCTTTGTTGGTCATTTGATTTCAATGGTTGAGAAGAAGAGCCTATGAGTTGATTGACCAGAATCATCAGTTTATTCAACTGAGATATTGTTCAGGAGAAATACTGCACTTGAATTATTTTAGCTGTTTTGAGACTCTGGATAATTCAATTTTAGAGAAATTTCTGCGAGTTTTTGCAAATGCCTGTTGTTTCTGTCCATACAGATATTTTGCGTTGCCCCTGTATTTTATTTTTTATTTACGAGTCGAATTTACCGAATCAAAGAGTGCCTGCATGACCGGTTGTCGGCGTGGGAGGTTTTACGATTTCTTGAAGATCATTCAAAATGCATTTCAAACCTTCGTTACGAACGAAGCATTCCTGGTTTTAATTCCGAAAAGAAAGATCGAGGAAAATTGTGATAGGCGAAGAAATGCGGTTTTGAATTCCCTAGGTCAGATGTTATTTATTTTTTCTCCTTCTGTCATGGGGATGTTAGGAAAAAGATAAAAGAGAAACCGTGTTTCCCAAAGCGCGTCCGTCCATTTTCTTTTTTCAATTGGCATGATCTTTTTTTTTTTGGGTGTGTTGATTTAGAACTCCCAAAGCGTGGAAATGTCAAGTTTTTTCCTCGCCCAACGGTATTTATTCTATTCCGGCGGTGTTTGTTCACGGAAAGTGTATTTGTTTGCGAGGAGGTGGGAAGAAAGTTTGAAAAATGTTCGACGAAATTTCTTCATTTCGAGAATTTTTTCAGATTCCACTTGTTCCCCAGCTTTTTCCCGCAGTCGGCGATGGAAGGAGTTGAGGACTTGACGTTTGACGCAAGGCACAAGGGAGGAGACGTGGACGTGAGAATTATTTTGCTTCCTGTGAAATTCCAAGTGTCACGATATGATTTCGACATCCGGAGTTGAAGAGTTGACGTTGATTGCAATCCGACGCCTTCTTGCACCAAATGACCCTGGGAAAGTGACAAGTACAGACGCTGGTTAATTAGGAATACTGCATTTCGCCGAGTCGCCCAGCAATATTCTGAAAACTTAAAGCTGTTCTGGAATCGAATGAGAACAAGTCTGGTTTTGGTCATGCTCAAAATTTCCAAAAAAATAAATTTAAATTTCAAGTCTAATGGAATCTTGGATCAAAAGTTGTTGGATGTCGGATAGGGTGGCTCATGTAATTTTTGGATCAAGCTGCCTTTTCCCATAAAAAAAATTTCATCTTTAAAAAGTGCTCAGTTTGATAACCCTTGAATTTATATTGTTTCCTTTTTCTTCCTTCAAGCAAGTATCGCCGTTGCCGTCTGAAAAATGTCCCTAGAAGTTTGCATGAATGTCTTTCTAACCGCAGTTTCATTCAAAAAATATCATGAAAAGCGAAGGATTGTTGTTTTTTTTTTTCTCAAATGGCTGCAAAGAACAAATACTGTATTGAATTTTAGTACAGAAAGCTGCTTTACACTTGAATTGAATTTGAGTATAGGTGGACTCTACAAAAATCTTGACTATACAACAATCTTATCTAGACTATATGACAATTTTATTATTTCATTGGATTTTTCCCCATGTCAAAAGGGTTCTCTACGACAAAATTCTCTGCATAACGATTTTTTTTTCTGGTCCCTTGAACATCGTTGTAGCATGTCTACCTGTATCTATTTACCGTATTTATTTAAAGAAAAAAGGTAGCCCATCAGCATTTATGATTTTTCAGATGATGTAATTCACAAATACGTTCAACTTTTCCTCCTGTGTTACATTGTTATTCACACTCGGAAACTTGTATGACTAAGATCAGGGGTTTGGCTTGAGACAGTCACTTTTTTCTTTCAGTCAAGTATCCGTCTGTAGACTTATGAAGTACTGCGAGACGCGATAAGACCACCTTTCCCTTCCCTGACCTCCGAAGTGAGATTCCTTTCCATCATTACCACTTCCGTACAGCCATTAACGCGGTACTTCTGCACCTGACAAGCACATTATAGTGATGAAGCGATCTTCTCAGAGCTATTACTCCAAGTCAGTGATGGAATGGAAGTAAGGTACGCTTGCGTAAGTATTTTTGTAAGATTTATATTCTTCACTCGTTCTGTCCGCATGTTTCCAGACGATTGTTCGTGAAGTGGATGCATTAATTATTTGAAATTAAAATATATCTTCTGGAAATATGGTCTTCTGTCCCTTGGAAAAGTTTCTTGAATTTCGGGACACCCTGTATTTTCTCGTAGGGATGGATAATCTGAAATTTATGGATTATTGTACAGTACTTAAAAAACACAAGAATCTTATAACAAATTTCATCATTGCTGAAAAGAAACTTGTTTTTGAGGCCCTGTCCATGCTATAGCCAAAATATTATTGAAAAATTCTTCATACAAAAATCGTTGAAGGCAAGATTTTATTGCATGTAACAAAATGTTATGGTAATTAAAACAAAATTTTGATGAGCTGTGCGTACTCAAGAAGCTGATCTGTAAAGTAGGATATTAAAAACAAACTTTGCATACAACTGCAGCTGAGACGTCATTTTTATTCTAAAATGAATTGTTGAGCTGTAAAATTCTAAAATAATCCAAAGAATAGCGCATTATTAAATTCCCAAAATTTTTGGATGAACATTTTTTTTCTGCCAGAGAACATGGAGAAGATTGGAACAGCATTTTTCTGCTACTGTAGAATTTATCCACTCGGCAATAAAATTTCTGAAAAATGTTCACACAACCCCGCACTTAGATTAATAGAGATGCATTGCTTGGCTGTGGGCTAGCCAATCATTCAAATTTTTACTTTCACTTGCACAGAAAACCCCAAAGAAAGCAAGCACTGGATCCAAGTACAGGTATATCCTTACTTACGTGAGAATTTTGAAGGAAATTGCATGAGCTTCTCTTTTTGAATACATTGGAATAAGTAAATCAGATACTGTATTGAACACATTGAAAATACTGTACTGTACATACAGTACTGCAAAAAACTTCCAGGCAACTTTGTTCATAACAGAAGTAAAAAAAAAAATATGCATCATACGAATGATTCAGCTCTTTTCACTTACTGTATATTAAAAACATACTGCTTTTCTTCAAAGTAATAGCACAAAAAAACTAAGCGAATAATTTGGTTAGATAGGGATTCAGGCGACACCTACCAGACAACATCAGAAGTCTCATTCGAAAATTGAATCGCTACGTGACGCACCTTCCCAGTGATGACAAACAGCTGTCTTCTCCCAGGAGGATCCCGACACCTCGAAAGCATGACCTCGTTCGTCACCGAATCCGAGCCGAGACACAAATCGGATCCGTGGAGTTCAATTGACCCAATAAAGGTCAGATCAATCGGGAACTTCGATTCCGGGAACACGGTCTCCAAGTACCAACGGAAACTGTGACAGTTCATTCGTTTCCTCAACTCGAATCTTTCTGCCAAATCCCCAGACACCAGCTTGTCATCCCACAAATCGTTCACCATCAAAGAGCCGTAGAACAAATTGGCGTGATCGTCCAGCCAAACATCAGCAACGCGGGCCTTGTTGCGGTTCACAGTTCTTCCAACCCCTGCAAATAAACACAAAATAAAAATGAGGGTAAATGCAAAAGAAAGATAAAAATAAATACAAATTAAAGCCTGAAAATAAAAGCAAAATGAAAGTGAGAATAAATATAGATAAGCATTGCATGTCTGTATATGAAATGTTGGAATAATTTCCGAACAGAATCATCTCCTAAATATAAAGGGAATAATCTGCAGAGTTTACCAAGATCCCTTTCCACGGAAATTTGATCACTGGAAAATTTTGGAGCCACGCGTAAATTTCAAGCGTTGAATGCTAATATAACTGTAAGGATAATGCGCATAAATGTGAGGGTTCTATTTTATTCTGCTTCTGAATTTTGAAAGAAAAAGAAACGTACCCTCAGGGAATCCCACTGGGTTCCTTCCCCGGAAGATGTGGCCCACCCGAGAACAGGGTATGATTTCGATTCTCCCTCCGCAAGTCCAAACTCGGATTGACATCTCGATGTTCTCGGAGCCCCAAATCGACATCCCTTCGTCATAAGCACCAACCTGATGATTTCGAAAGACAAGCTGTAGTCAAAAGATATTCTGCTCATTAAATTTGCAAGAGTCAACTATACTGTACATAATTTATATTTTAATAATTTGCACACGAAATTTAGAAATGCTCATTAGGATTCTCCGCGCTTTTCCTCCATTCCGAAAGTTATGAATAGAACGTGAACTTTTGCGAAAAAAATTGTCTAGCAGAATTTTACATGAAATAAAATTTCAGATCAAGAATTGAGACTTTCCAGTGATATATTATGTGATGGTACTCCAGAAATTGGATCCATTGTGAAAACATATTTTTGAAGACATTCATCAGCAATTTCTAAAAATTGGACAGCGTTCCTTTACTGCAGATTTAAAACCGCAGTGAACATTTATTGCCTTCACAAATTTTTTTTTCTGCAGAAAAACGCGGCTGTTATTCAAGACAATTTTTCTTGTCTTTCTAGAAAGGTTCTTGATTTTCGCCCTCCATGTTCAGATAGTTTTTCTCATTTCTACAATAAAAATCTGAGCATTTCATTGAAAGTAATTTTAAAATACAGTACGTGGAATGAAAGCGTTTATTTTCCCAGCACATGCAATATCAGCCAGATACTCATATTAACGTCTTCATTCAACGTATTTGAAGATGATTATTAACAGAGAGCCCGCTAAATGCTCAAATTCGAATAATGAAAAATAAAGAAAAAAGTTTAAAAAAAATGCACGAACAAGGTTTTGAAGACGGATAAAATAATGTTGCCCCAAAAACAATAAAAATTGACAGCTTAACCCACAATGAAGCAATTAAACGTAAGTGAAAAACCTATCAGTAGCATTTACGCTTTCGCTTACAAGTTCAACAGCGACTCACCTGCCAGAAATACTTGGCGTCAATGGCGTAAATGCCTCCGGCCATCACCGGGGTGCCTCGTCGCTTATTATTGTTCTTATTGAACCCGTCGGCCCCAGCGGGGAACCAGTAGAAGTCCAGGTTCCAATTGAACCCGCCGCGGTTCCGGGCATTCGTCGACACGTACGAAAAGTCAACGTGAGACACGACGTCGATGACGGGACATGCGATCGTCGAGCGACTGGCGAGAATGCGTTCAAGCAGTGGCGGAAGCCAACCCCGATTGCATTCCACGTGCGAGTCCAGAAAAACCAGGGTTTGTCCGGTTGCGTTCCGAGCTCCCAGGAGTCTGGCTTTAACCAGTCCCAGTCTGCAAATTCCACGATGGCTTAATATATATATATACAGTATATTTGCGTCACAGGAACAAATTTTGCTTTTGTATGAACTAAATGCCGCACTTTTACGCGAATACCAAATATACTCGAGAACCGGTGAGAACAAAAATAACCCGAATTTTCCCCCAGACGGAGACGAATTCTACCGTTCGTCGCTACGAAGTAATCGCACAGTCACATTGGTGAAAGATTGCGCAAAAATCTGCAGCGATTGTCCGGATCGAGGGTCGTAGGTGTAATTAAAGTAGCTCGCGTCATCCACTAATATGATCTCCTTCAATAGTTCACGAGGTGTTCGGTTCACGACACTCCATAAGCTTCTCGACAACGCCGACCACGCTTCGTTGTGGAAGCATATGATCACACTCGCATTCGGGAGCAGCTGCGAATATCTGCGCAAAAAAAGGGTAAGATTATTCTACAAATTTGCACATCATGCGTCATCGGCCTCACCTTTCCTCGAAATTATGTCAACCTATAGAGAAGGATAAAGAGAGAAATGAAAAAGTAAATCCAATTTCAGACACAACAATATAACAGTACACCGAATAACTGAATAAAATACTGTATTGTATAGCCATATTTCATTTCTGAAAATTAAAATACAGGTGCACTATTTTTAAAAAATACGAAAAAAACCCCAGAATTCTTGAACATCATGGACTATGTCAAGATTTTTATTACGATCACACTTACTATATGAAAAGAACTGAGGTCGCGTCAAGCTGGGACAAACCTCCCTTAAAAATGCGCTTTTAATAATGTACAACTACAGAATATCAAAAACATATACTCGTATATATATGACCCGCCCTCGTAAAAAAAAAATAATAATGAATCGTTCATGGAATTCACCTCCGGGCCTGACAAGCCAGTGATCTGGAATCAGGGATTGAACGTTGCACGGAAATCGAATCACTGATGACCACGTCGAATTCGTGTTCCCCGAACCGTTTCTCCGACTCCTTCTTCAGCTTCCCTTCCAGCGAAATCCGTTCCCCGCGATCGCCGAGACTCCACGGGCCGGTTTTCAGGGTTCTCGGACCCCCTCCGGGCACTTCGCTCCAAGCCCAAAAGGACAATTCCCGGATCGGGTACTCCAGCTGGTCCTGGTACGTGTCCGCAATAATAGCGCAGTCTTCGTTGATGCCGCAGCCGGGAGCCATTTGGCGGAGAAATTCTGCGTACTTATTATTATTATTGTTCCGATCATCTGGACGATCATGATCGGAACAGACTGAAAAGCCGTAAATGAGACACAAAGGCAAGTCAGATTGCAACACGAAGAAGAGGATGGTGTGAATGACGGCTGTCCATACTACCGACGTGGCGAGGACAATTTTCAAAGTGGATTTCCGTCGCGCTAACCATGATCTCATTTCAGATTCATCAATATAGGAAGAAGATCACGCACAGTGTAAAGTAATCACAATTATTCGAAGGACTTCAACATGTTCTCCAAAATACTGATAATAAGGACATTGTTGCTGGCAGAAACTGAAAATATGTCAGCCTTAATCCAACATATATTTACTTGTGCAACGATATCTTTTCTCTTAAAATTCAGGCAGAAAAATAGGGTGTGACATTAAAAATTTAAAAAAATCCCCGAACCAGTGCTCATATCACACGTGAGTACATTTGAGCAAAAAAGAAAGATTAAATGTTTGGCACCAAGTCTCATTGTGTACAAAAAATAATGGTTCAATCAATAAAAACAAATTTAGGAATACACCAGAAGGAAATGAAGGACGAGAAAAATATTCATCTAATCAGAAAGCTGCCGTTTAGTGAAAGCACATTTTAACTGCTCCAGCACAAGAAAAAAATCAGGAAAGATAAAAAATCAATGAAAAAATGAATCCACAAACAAAAGAGACCTCACAGCTTTGGATTTCTAGCAAAGAAAAGAAAAAAAACTGATCGAGGTGCAGAGATTGGTTTCTGGAAAATTTTCCCACAAAAAAGTGGGGTGCTTCTCGTCTTACAACGAAATACTCTCGACAACGACTTTTTTCAGGAAATTCCAACACTTTTGTTGCAGAGGGGGTCCACCTGTATGCACAGTACTTTTAATCGATGAACAGTCCCCAAGATATTGCTTCAAGCACGAAATATTTCAAAACTCCACGTTTTTAACTTTTCTGAAGAAACGAATTGAGTGTTTCAGGTTATCTGGCGTATAATCATCTTACAAACAAGTACAATTTAAATACCGCAGAAAAATCAAATCAATTGCCATCACTGAAGCACAGCTAATAAAAATCAAAATTGGAGACACGACGTTCCAATTTTTCGGACGTAGCAAGTATACAGTATAGGAATTCATTTCATCGTGCGGAATCCAGCGCCCCTGGCGATCATTTATTTACAAGGGCAAATTTGTTGATTTCACGGCATTTCATGCGAAAAATGCTGAAATTTGCAATTTTTTATTTTTTATTATTTTTAGTCCCAGTTCGGACGTCGTTCGAGACACATTGCAACACCTAGGCCACCTCCGACGCACAAAGCAGCAACTCCGCGTCTCGCTTTGCGTTCTTTCATCGCAATCGCCAACGTTCCCAGGATCTTTGTTCCTATATTATATGACGAAACAGAACAATTAAAAATTATATTCCACATGTACGAGAAGTTTCTCAAAAGCCAGGCGAGACGCAAGAAAATTTTCATTGCAGCAGGTGGATGAAATCTGGTTTAAAGATGTATAAGTTTACAATTTTTAACTCGTAAGAAAATATTACTCCACCCTAGACAGATGAAAAAGCTGCGTTATGCAGTAAAATTTAGTTAAGAGTTAGTTAGTTTTCGCAACAACGATTTTTTCTTTGTCCCGGAAGTTTCTCCATAAGCACCATGTTATAAAATGCTTGTTTTAACAAACTCAGCTTAGGTTGTGATCTCAGTAAAACGAAGTTTCGTCCCTCCGCATTTCATCAGAGAAACTTGTAAATTATGGCAAATATTGAATTATCTGTTGCAAAAGAATTTTACAGAATTTATTACCCATTTCGTTCAACGTTTCAGTCTAAAATTCATTGAAAATATGAACCTTTAATTCAATGGATTTTTTCATTATAAGGAATCAGGAATCATCACGTCCCTGGAAGTTTTTTGTAATGAAATTTCACGGTATGATCGAGAACACCTTGAGAAATCTAAAAAAAGTCCACTTATCCTGAGCAAACGGGAGAATTTCTTCATCGAGAATTATGCAAATAATTTTCAAGCCCGCAAATTGGGTGTTTAAATTGGGAATACGATCTAAAAACTTATTACGTTTCATGAGCAGTTAATTTTGCCTGGAGTCTTTTCCTGTTGGGAATCATTCTGGAATAAAATAAAATATATAAGCTTTTGCACGCCCTTTTTGTTGGGTGAAACAATTGGATTGGATGGGATTTAAACGGCGCAGCGAAACAACAATAAAAATACTGCCTTGCTGGAAAGGAGCTGTTTCTCATCCAACCGCAATGCAAATTTTCTAGTGGTTTCGAAAGACTTTCAGGAAACCCAGTGCAATTAAGTCATTACCCGAAGCTCCGAGTGGATGTCCAAGCGCAATCGCACCTCCGTAAATGTTGACCTTTTCCGGGTCCAGACCGAGTTCACGCACAACTGCCAGGCTTTGAGCAGCGAACGCTTCGTTGATCTCGAATAAATCCACGTCTTCCAGACTCCATCCAGCCTTCTCGACCTAATAGTAATGCAACAAGCATTACAAAAGCAATAGAATTATACTTCTTCCATCAGAGAAGTAACATCCACGATGTAAGGAAGTGATCCAAGTCATCCAACGGCGATATGAGCCATGACGTAAATTTCGATTTTCCGCGTAAGATTAACAACGCGGAGATCGCAAGCAGGGAGATGTACGAGCTTCGAGCTTCCATCCTTAGATGTCGCTCGCGACACCGCGAATAACTAGCCTTCGGCAACCTTGCGCTTCCTCATACGACACTGAGAGGCTCAAAAGTTGAGAACGATTATGATTCACGTATGACACATTCTCAAAGGATTCAGATATGTCTACAGCCCGAACTATAGATCAAGTCGAGATAATCATGAATACTAAAAAATCCTAAATGTTCCAGCTGAAGGTTTAAGAGTTATACTTCTGTATAGTCGTGATCTGGGGGTTAAGACTGCGTTCTGAACGATCGACGAACAATTTGGTCCACAATTCCTATTAGAAAAAGGGCACAAACATGAAAAAAGTATAGGAATCCTTAGTTCGACTGAAATTATTCCACAATTTTCGATATCCTTTTACGTAGTAAGGCAAGAATACAGCACACAGCCTATCGCTGCCACACTTCGAAAAATTTCAGGAAATTTACGGTAACAGCCATTCTTGAGAGAAAGTTTACTAGTCTTCGGGTGTAAGATAGAAAATTCGACGTTATCTCCCAAGAACTTTAAGCGATCATGTAATAGGGGTTTTTTCTTTCCAAGTTGAAGACAATGATTTGCTGAGGCTCAGCACTTTATAGCGCCGATACTTTCTCTCGTTCTCTCTTGTTAACACGTGGCTTTTACGAACTATTGAAGCCATTTTGCAATATATCTTCTGCAGCAACATCGGAAAAATTCAATGAAACTAAATGCTGATTCAACAGCGAAGTTTCAATTTACTTCCTGTAATTTAATATCCATAACTGACGGAACGGAACTAACTCGAATTAACCTCGAATCTCCGAATATATATTTTTTTAATATGGAGACGCATTGATAATACGTGATTCGGATACGTTAAAGATGGCTTTTTGAATAAGCGGGTTCAAAAAAAAAGAGAAACATGGCATTATTGCATACAATATTTGTCTGACTTTTTAAAACAGAAAATTAAAATTACACATGCGACTCGCCTATTTTTTGCAGAGCACAAGGTGACATGAATACAGTAATTATTTTCAGATAGAGAGCAAAATAAAGAATTACTTTCAATGAAAACAATCAAAAATTAATTCAATTCGGGTTCGATTCAAGTTGAATTTTTTTTAGCTTGATGCATTGTAAAATCAAAACTTTGCCCGTTTCAGTCACTAAAGATGAGGTACGCGTCATACTCGGGGACAGGATTTTATCCAAAGTTGGCGACCAGAAATTCCTGGGGCGCTGGGTACTCGACTTAATCGAGTAAATACGGGTACATATTTGTAAAGAGGTTTACAATACTGTTACGAACAAAAGACTGCAGTATATACTTCAACACTTGGATGTCCTGATCTCAGGAAATCTTCAGAAGCAGACGGAAAAGCAGAATATATTCTTACGGCTTTAATGATCGCAGGCACAGGTGCGATTCCCATGACCCGTGGCTCGACACCCACAGAAGCGATGGCAACAATCGACAGCAAAGGCACTAGTCCGCGTCGCACGGCTTCTTCTTCTTCCATGACGACGCAAAACGCCGCTGCGTCATTCATTCCCGACGCATTGCCCACAGTTACTGAGCCCTTGGGCGTGAACGCGGGTCGTAACTTGGACAAAGTCTCTAAAGACGTTTCTGGGCGCGGGTGCTCGTCTTGGGACACGATTTCCGGTGGGGACCCGCGACGTGTGCCAGGCACCGAGACGGGGATGATTTCCTGGTCCGTCTTGCCGGATTTGTTGGCTGAGTCCGCGCGACGCTGGGATTCCAGTGCGAATCGGTCCTGGTCTTCGCGGGGAACATTGTATTCGCTTGCCACGTTTTCCGCTGCGAAAAAAAATCAATAAAATGTACAGTCAAAGCTCTTCAAGTCGAATTTGAAGGGATCAGAAAATAAATATCCAGATACAGAGGTCTCTTGTTGAAGAAACAAAGCATTGAGGGGGGGGGGGAGAGAAAATTAGAGAAATCTGGAATAGGTGATATTCTGGGTCTTGAATTGCTTCTTGAATGAGTCGACAGCTGGATGCTGAACTTGGAACATTCGCCCAATGAGTCTTTCACATATTTTCAAAACACATCAAGATAAATTTTTTACTGATTTTCTCTTTCTTGTGTCAAAAAAAGGGCTCCGGAAAATTCGAGTGTTTGAAGGGGAATCTTTAACGTTAAAGGGGGTTTTCAATCCATTGTTTCCAAGGGAATTCAGAAAAGGAAAAGGCTAATTAATTTTGTGCTTTTCTTTCTACGGGACTCCCATCAAATGTCCACACTTCAAAGCATAGCAATGCAGTACAGTGGGCCCCCGACTTACGACGGGCCCATGTTACGTCGGTTTCAATTTACGACGCTTTTGTTAATTAAAAAAAACCCCGACTTACGTCAGGGTTTCATGATACGACAACTTCTTAAGTTCTTCAGCTCCACACAAATTTAAAAATTTCTTCTTCTAACATATGATCAATCAAAATAATGCACTTCCATGGGAAAAAATTAACTATACCTAATTGAGGACTGGAGAGGAGCAACTAAACATATGGACTTTTTTATAAATAAAATGTAAAAATACTGTATGCAAAAAATGTATAAAAAATAAAATTTAAAAAATTTGTTTAAAGAATCCCACCAGCATTTTGCAATTTCTTGAAAGTCTGATGGATCAAAGATAGTTTCATTCCTGGAAAATCATTATAAAAACAGCATTCCATTTTTTTGAATGCTGTT